AAGGTACGCAATGTTAAAAAACTCAAGGTAAAACGGTTAGTGGGTGTGGGTCGTCGTCAGGAATCAATGCAAGGGATGGCAGTGTATCCCACATATGATTGGAGAGTGATATGGGTGGAATTTAGTAAATTAAGAATACCAGCAAGAGCGAGGGAATTAGTTTATAGATTTCTTATGGGGACGTTAGCATCGAAAGAGGTGCTAAGACGAATGGGTTTTGTGAGAGAGGCATCATGCGGTTTTTGTGGGGAGGTTGAAACGGCTTTTCATGTAGTATATTTTTGTTCTGCTTTGGAGGTGGTAAGATTGTGGTTGAAGAGGGTTTTCTTTTTATTGGGGGGGGGGGGACAGATATCAACCCTCAGGGCTTTAATGTTAGATATGGGAGGGGTACCCAAAGAGGTGGGGAGGGCTATCAGATACGTAATAGTTGATTACTTGCATGTTTCTTGGGGGATGAGGGAGGTGGAGGGAAACATTAGGATAAAAGCGTTGGCGGCGTGTTTTTATAGGACAGCATGTAGGAACAAACAATTATATGGGGGAAGGTGGGTAATTAGTTTTCCGGAGGGATATCGTGAACTTACTGTTGAACGTCTACTCCGTTTGGTGACGGGGTGAGAGGCAAGGGGTTGGTCTCTTCAGTGGTGTGTCCTCTTGGAGTGATTGGAAGCCTGATGAGGAAGGTTGATTGGTTTGCAAGGTGGTAGATGTGGGTAAAGTTTTTTTTGCAGGGAGCCGTCGGGGGCTCCGGGGTATGTAGACCGTCGGGGGCTCCGGGGTATGTAGACCGTCGGGGGCTCCGGGGTATGTAGACCTTTATGAATTTTGTAAAATCACAGAGTCAAAAGTAGTATGTGATTTTCTGTTTTTTCTCTTATTGTTATAAGAACCATTTTATATAGGGGGTTTATATTTATATGTATATTGTGAGGATATGTTTTATACATTCGAGTCTGATGTTAGATTTATCCTTGTCATGTCTCTTTTTTATCGTATTGAATGGGTACAAAATGACCTATGTACCAAAATATAAAAGTATTTGATGGGGTTTATATATACCCTTCATTTGACTGGAAGGTCATATTATATATTGAGTGTTAATCGGTAACATTAATTTTGTGTGTGTGTAGGTGTGTTTGTGGGAACCAATGTCTTAGGTATAGTTCTATCATTGGATGTAATATTTTTTAGTTTATTTGGTGAAAAGTCATTTAGTGCTTTATTTCTATGTATGATCCAGTTTGTTCTGTACGAACAAATGCACATACACGTATGTGTGTATAAGCATGCGTATATGTATACATATATATATATATATATATATATATATATATATATATATATATATATATATATATATATATATATATATATATATATATATATGTTTGTAGGACTCATTCCTACATGTTTTATAATGACTCCGACTGTTTGTTTGGAAGTCGGTTGGTTGGGTTATTTTAGTAGAATTTGTTATATCAATGTGTTACAATGTTTTTTGTGTACCTGACATTGTCTGCCACTTCTGTTTTGGATGTTATGTATTTAGTTTGTCTAGTTTTTTTTTTAGTGATAAGTCTTTTTTGTTTGTTTGTTTGTTTGTTCTAGTATAATCCAGTCTGTGCTGTAAGAACATATGTGCACATACATGTATGTGTATATGTGCATGTGTATGTATATACATATATACATGATTATAGGACTTATTCCTACATGTTTTATGACTCCGACGTTCCGTTTTGTAGTCGGTATGTTTTTTTTTTTTCCCGTAAACGGGTTGGGTTTCTTACGGTAGAATTTCGTTATATCAATATGTTAAAATGGTTTTTTTTGTTTATTGTGTGTGTACTGACATGGTCTGTCACGGTTTTGGATTTGCTAATTGTCGGCTTGTATCATGTGTATGTTGTTTTTAAATAAAATATAAAAAAAAAAAAAACTCCTCCTTTTTCTTAGAGGAATAAGTCTTGTGCATACATTGAGTGCCACCAAGTTAATTTGTTCTAGGCATAAGTTGGGGTGTGTTGCTTAGTATATCTTCCCAGCTTATATCGGTTAGGACTTGGTTTACTTGGTCCCACTTTGTTTTTGTTATTGAAGTTGAATTTGGTGAATGCTCCCTCGTGACTAATCTCATTTTGTCGGTCTGGGGCTCTGCGCATACATGTCTGAACCTCAATTATGTTGTGATCTGAGTATATTGTTTTTGATATGGTGACATTTCTTATCAGATCATCATTGTTAGTGAAGATAAGGTCTAGTGTATTCTCCATAATAGTAGGCTCTATTATTTGCTGGTTTAAATTGAATTTTGTGCAGAGATTTAAAAGCTCGTGTGAGTGTGAGTTTTCATCAGAGCTGCCTCCTGGTGTTATTACTGCAACAATATTATTTGCTATATTCCTCCATTTTAGGTGCCTTAAGTTGAAATCCCCCAGGAGCAAGATGTTGGGTGCAGGAGCTGGAAGATTTTCCAGACAGTGGTCAATTTTTAACAGCTGTTCCTGGAATTGCTGGGATGTTGCATCCGGAGGCTTGTAGACTACCACAATGACTAGGTTTTGGTTCTCGACCTTTACTGCTAAAACTTCCACTACATCATTTGAGGCATTAAGCAGTTCTGTGCAAACAAGTGACTCTGCAATGTACAGGCCAACCCCCCCCCCTTTTGCCTGTTCACTCTGTCACATCTGTATAGGTTGTAACCTGGGATCCATATTTCGTTGTCTAAGTGATCCTTTATGTGGGTCTCAGTGAAAGCCGCGAACATTGCCTTTGTCTCTGCAAGCAGTCCACGGATGAAAGGTATTTTGTTGTTTGTTGCTGGCTTTAGACCCTGTATATTTGCAAAGAAGAATGTCATCGGACTGGTGGTATTGTTGGTACTGGGGGGGGGGGGATTTTTTTTCCGGCATTAGTATCTGTATCTGTTGGTTTGGAGTGGAGGCCATCGACTGTGGTTCCACTCCAGGAATGACTGGATTTGGTGTACAATTACATAACAGAAGGAAATTATATCTTAATATCACTCACCAATTTGACTGGAGATTAATGTGTCGTACTCAGAAAACCTCACTAACTAAATCTATGAAAATAATGCTGGCCAGAATTACACACAAATCTGAGGTTCCTGGAGCTGTCTTGTCCAGTCGCCTGATATCTCAAGTTATCCAGGAATGCACATCCACCAATTTCGCCTCCTATTTGAGAGGTGTCAACACAATTTTAACCTCTAGAGCACGAAAAATTCTTCCCATTACACCAACATTGTATCCAATTCAAAACCAAGATGGCGAGTCTCGTCTGCGCAGACGCAGGCTTTCCGTTTTCTATGACAAATATTATACAGTATGGCCATATATTTACATATAAATACTGAATTTCTGGAAAATATATACAGTATTTTCCACTACTACTACTACTACTACTGTGGAAAATACTGTATATATTTTCCAGAAATACGGTAATTTATAGGTAAATAGATGGCCTATACTGTATTTAATAATATTTGTCATAGAAAATGGAAAGCCTGCATCTGGGCAGGGGACTCGCCATCTTGGTTTTAAATTTTGTACAAACGTTGGTGTAATGGGAAGAATTTTTCGTGCTCTAGAGGTTAAAATTGGGCTGACACCTCTCAAATAGGAGGCGAAATTGGTGGATATGCATTCCTGCATAACTTGCGATATCAGGCGACTGGACAAGACCTCTCCAGGAACCTCAGATAAGCTCTCTAGATTTGTGTATAATTCTGGCCAGCATTATTTTCTTAGATTTAGTTAGTGAGGTTTTCTAAGTATGACACATTAATCTCCAGTCAAATTGGCGAGTGATATTAAGATATAATTTCCTTCTGTTATGTAATTGTGTATATATATAACCATTTATTATTTTTAATATACAGTCCACAAATTTATATATTTACCAACATTCCTGGTGTATGTATATTTCATTTAATTAATAGGTCCAGAGCAACTTGTGGATATGACAGTGGTAGGTATCGATTATTATTATAATCAAGGGGGAAGTGCTAAACCCGGAGGATTATACAGCACCTGGGGGGGATGTGGAAGGCATTCAGGCTTAATTCGGGGAACTGGAGCACAGATCCAATTCCCTAAATCAAGAGCCCCTCACCAACATCAAGGAACCTTCCTTGAGGGGGGGTAGGTATCGAAGGAGGGACATCTTTTGCGACCTAGGTGTCCCAAATTCCTACTTGTTTAACTGTTATGTATATAATTATACATCCAAGTAAATGCAATTTTCTACTACTACTACTACTACTACTACTACTACTACCACTACCACTACTACTACCACTACTACTACTACCACTACTACTACTACTACCACCACCACCTGCCCATATATATACCCCTCCCCTACTTTTCGTTAGTGTGACTGTAAATGATCCAAGTAGGACTGAAATGTCAACACACAACTCTTGTGTGGGTTGCAGTGCAGAGTTCTTGGGAATATAGTAAGGGAATACCTTTCCTGCATCTCTCAGCCACCCAAATATTTCTAGTTTAGCAGTTTTATAGATCCGGCTCTGCGAAAAAAATGTAGCTGTAGTATCAGCTAGCCATCTGGTATCCTGGTGGAAATATAAGTCACTGTGTGTGACTTTTTTTTTGGGTTATCCCAGGTTCTCTACACATATGCTGCTATGTATGATAATCTGTGTAATTGCATTTGTGTATACCTGAATAAACTTACTATTTATATTTACTGTTTAGTAGATTTTTATTAATGACAAAACTCGTGTATCGTAATCAACTAATTTTTCACCGGATTTTTTACGTGACTAACTTCTTGTATTGTAATATTTTCACTCGTACGAACTCTGTTATAAAAACTAGGAAAAAATCTTAACTTCGTCTTGTAGTTTTATTCATTTTTATCTTGTTCTTTAACATTTGCCCATAAAAATGTTCTCGGACTGGTTGTTTTGTGTCAGGCTAACATCAGTATTACTTTCTTCAAACATGCAGCTCTGGATAGGAGTTTCTGGTGCCAGCTGGAGACATCTTCACTCCTCCAGCTTCGATGTCGCATGATTCACTTCCCTGCTGGAGGTACTAATTATATACTATACGAAGATCTCGTGCTGTGAACCCATGCCGTTTTGGCGCTTGTTTATATAATTCATATTGACACTCATTTGCCTTATCATTTTAGCAAAATTTTGTTTCTTATTATTGAATTATCGCACACTTTGGCTTAGTAGTTTTATTTGCATAATGTATCAGTATGTATTTTTTTCATTCCATGTAAGTGTTTGCTGCAGCGTTGTTTTACACATAATTGTGGTTGCTTGTTTAACGTACTTTTTTTTTATAATTTTACATTGTTTATATTTACTGAACCAATAGCTTGTCTGCAAGAATAGATTATACTGTATTTGAATATTTAAATGAAGCTATTTTCCTTATTGCGTGTTAAAAATGTTTGATGCCTATAACATAAAGCTGTTGACTGGTAGGTTTGAACACTATACATTTCGCTCTCCCACTTATTCCTGCTAAAGAGGATCTCAGTTTGTGATCGAAATATACAGTTCGTAATTCTTGTTTCTTAGATTTATTCAGATTTTGTAGCAGTTTAACGTATTTTTTTTAATTCATGTATCCATGTTATGCTTGTCATTAGTCTGCGTTTTGTGCAGAGTACCAAGTAATGTTAGTGATTTTTTTTTTTTAACCAACTAGCCAATATACACGTTATATTGAGTGGCATCTTTCAGAAGTTCTGCTGACCAGGGATGTTTTCCACATACTAGGACTTGTAAAGATAAATAGGTCATTAACTTAATGTTGACAGTATAAGTCTTGACCATTACTCATTTAAATCAACTTGGAAATGCTAGTCATTTTTTCCCTTTGAAATACATTTGTGTATGGCAGATATATTAATGAAAATTCTCATAAACCTCATGCCATGGACCCAGGAAGTAAGGTATAAAGTCGAGTCGACGAGCAATTACGTACTTGAAGTAGCTGAAGTCATGTGATTAATGATGATAAGAATATTGCTCCTAGGTGACCTTTGTCTACTTGGCGTCTATCAGGTTTCGTATTTTTTGGGAGTTTTATGAATTTTTATATTCTCATGAGTATGTAATGTGATCACTGTCATCTCGTACTTGTTAATAAGGCGTAGTGATTTAATTTACCGATTCCAATAATATTTTCTCAGCCACTGTACACAAAGGTCACATTTGTAAAATTAGGACCCCCTACGGGTTTAGTTTCCCCGTGATGATAATATGAGCACAAAGAATAATAGTACCCTGTGACTGCTTTGTTAAGGTGTGGAAACTTAGATCCAGTGAGGCAGCTTGGCGTCAGGGAACAGGTTTCCCGTGACAAACTAACAACCACTGTTATAAAGGAAGTATAGAATATCTTCCGTGTTAGTAGTGTTGTAAGAGCCAGACAACCTTCCAGAGTAATGTTGGAATACAATGCGCTCTCAGCTGGTATACTACAAGGCCAGCTAGCCACTGTTGCCGCTTACCAGCTTAGACTCGCCTGTCACTTGGAACTGCGTTACTGGCTCTTTTAATTTCACCGTCGTCACTGGTTTAACAGGATTTGATCTTATATGTTGAATACATCATTAAATTTCTTAGCTTTCATATATCTGTTGTATAATAACAAGGGCCCTAATAAGATAAGATTTCGTTCGGATTTTTAGCCCCGAAGGGTTAGCCACCGAGGATAACCCAAGAAAGTCAGTGCGTCATCGAGGACTGTCTTAACTTATTTCCATTGTGGTCCTCAATCTTGTCCCCCAGGATGCGACCCACACCAGTCGACTAACACCCAGGTACCTATTTGCTGCTAGGTGAACAAGGCAACAGGTGTAAGGAAACGCGTCGAAATGTTTCCACCCGCCGGGAATCGAACCCGGGCCCTCCGTGTGTAAAGCTTTAGCCACCAGGCCACCGGATAGTCTTTTTTTTTGGGTAATCCTAGGTAACTTGCACTATATTATCATAATTGTACATATATATGCCTGTGCTTAAATAAATTTAACTCCCAATTAAAAATAGAATCTTTTCACTTTTTGCAATTAACTGCCTGATTAAGAGTATTTTGATCTTCAATATCACTTCGTGGTATTTGTTTATATAAAACATGTGTAAATTTAGGTTACAAAAGATATTGGGTTCATAAATTTTTATACACACTTGTAAATATCTATATTTAGAATTTGAGATGACAAGCAGGATCTGACATTTTGCGTCAGGTGTATTAATTTGTTTATCCTGTGGCTAGTCACTCTCATCAACAGCAATAAATTAAAATTTAACAATGAATGTTTTTAAGTGTGAGCTGCTTTGACCTGGAAATTTTATTTATTATTAATTTGGACATGATACATAGATGTACAAAGAAATACAGTGGTTAAGTGTAACATGCCAAAAGCCCCTTGTATGCAGAGCATTATGGGCAGGCTTAAAATTAACTTAATTTACGTTCACTGTTAATTTTGAAATCCCATTATTTTCTGTCGATTTTTATTTACAGAACTGATACATTGTATGCGCTTGTATAACTTCCGTAATCTTCACGTTCCATAAAGTTAGCTTTTAAAGCTAATTACCAACATATCCACCACAGGATGGTGGGCACAATATTGTGACTGAAATGCTACATAAATAAGCCTAGTTAATGGTCCAACTCTGGCCAAAACATCGCCACAAGTTTTTCTATGTGCGGATTATGTGTATTGTCATATATTATTAGTACTAGTTAATGATCCAAGTTGGACCGAAACGTCGTCCTAAGCTTCTCTGTCCTATGTGCGGGTTATTTGTGTATTGTTCCAGTCATGGTATTGTGCCTTTTTGTTCAATAATAAATTGTGAAGTCAGCTAGTCTGTTCCAATAAATAAGGATATAAAATGGCTGATAAGTGATATCGTATACATAATTTATTATTAAGGGTTTCTAAGCTGTATTATATAAGCCATAATTTAAAACTGCAGCATGACATTAAAAATTTCTAATCCACTGCAGCTCTTTTTTCCACGGGTATTATTTCACTGGAACCCGTTTTCATTGTGTATTATTTACAACTTGTTTCCTTCATGATGTTGACCTCAGAAACTTTATTCTTTATAAGCTCTTGGAGGTGAGGGGGGTTAGTGTGTGTGTGTGTGTGTGTGTGTGTGTGTGTGTGCGCGCGCGCACCTAGTTGAGGTTGCATGAGTCGAGTCCAAGCTCCTGGCCCCGCCTCTTCACTGGTCGCTACTAGGTCACTCCCTGAACCGTGAGCTTTATCATACCTCTGCTTAAAGCTATGTATGGATCCTGCCTACACTACATCGCTTCCCAAACTATTCCACTTCCTGACTACTCTGTGACTGAAGAAATACTTCCTAACATCCCTGTGATTCATCTGTCTTCAACTTCCAACTGTGTCCCCTTGTTGCTTTGTGTGTGTGTGTGTGTGTGTGTGTGTGTGTGTGTGTGTGTGTGTGTACTCGCCTAGTTGAGGTTGCAGGGGTCGAGTCCTAGCTCCTCTGTGTATGTGTCCTACTTGGTCAGTTAGGCCGAACTACCCTAAACTAATTCATTTTTCCAAAATTTTCTTTTTATGGCGCAAATGTATTTTCTTTGAAATGTGGTTTGTAGGACTTAGTTGAGGCCTATTTATGGAAGTAATGTCTGCGTATTTCACATTATAAAATATCGCTGATTCGCTTAACATTAAAAAACAATTCTCGTGTATTCTTGGGGCAGTGATTTATTACATTCCCTGCTTGCCCTCCCACACTGTCCAACACAATCCCCGCTGTCAACTTTCTCACTGATTGTTCTGTCGTACTGGGTTCCTTGCTGATTGTTAATCTTGTGGGGCACGTAAGTGCATATCTCCACTAGGTCATCTGAGACTGTGACCTCCTTGGCGACCCTTGTGTGGATGTGGACATTGGTGGTAGCCTAGAACAAGAGGTAAATGACCAGAAAAGTTTTGGTTGGTTGGTCGGGGTTATCCTTCCTCTATAAGCTGCGCAGATGCTGAAAACTTTTAAAAATGCATTTTGCCGTTATACAATCTTGTGGTGTGAGAAGAGTGAATCTGTTGGCATACTGACAAATGCTTGTTCATGTGACGATACTTTTCAGACGTCTAGCCCTTGTGGCTTAGCGCTTCTTTTTTATTATAATAATAATAATAATTTTCAGAAGTCTATACGTTTATAAATCCTCAAAAAAATCGTTTTCGTCTTTGAGAATCCTTGGATACTAAGCCCGGTGGTTTACAGCTTAAGTTTTGATTATAATAATAATGGGGATCCTAAAATATTAAATCCAACGGAACAATATGAAATAACCATCTAAAAAGGTTTAGAAAGATGAGAGAAATCTCTCGTATATGCGCGTTATATTTTAGCAAATTTAGCTAGGTGTGTGTGTGTGTGTGTGTATGTGTATGTGTATGTGTGTATGTGTATGTGTGTATGTGTGTGTGTGTGTGCAGCTTGACTATATAGGCCAGTAACATTAACACACAAAACCTCAATACCACTACAACCAATACCGTGGGAATGTTAACCTACTGGCTTCTTGATTACTGGAGTGAGAACAGTATACTGTACGACGAATTAAAAGGAAGGTTATTGTATGTATTTGGCCTTTTGTAAGCATTGTTACTGTGACATGCACCTATTTGTGTGAAGTGAACATAAGAATGTGGCATATATCATTGTTTTTATACTCTTGGAGGTGCCTGTTGGGACAACACACCTTTGAACCTAAATAAGACATGTTTTAGTTCTGGGCTTGATAAGGAGGTTCATTTTTAGTTTTATTTGTGGGACCGAGTGACCTGTTTTCAGTTATGATTTTATATATATGCTCGGATAAAAAGAAAGTTTATTTTATTGTGCAGGGCTATGGATGGTCTTTCGAGTACCGTGCTCTTAAAGTAGTGCATGGAGTTCGGAAATCATTATTCCTTTCGTGATTTCGATCTTAGATCTGTTTGACTGCATCACACAAGTTTGACATATCATAAAAGTATGATGTCTAGCGATCAGTTTTTTTTTTACCGTGTCTTGGACCAAGATATGCCTAAAAATGGCAAGGCAATAGTTTGAACTAGATAGCTACCTCTCATTGTCAAGTAAGTTGGGGGTCGAGTTATCTTCTGGTATTACTGCTCAGTGGGTGGGGGTCAATAGATAAGAACTGAAAACTAGTGTTTACCAGAATTTAATCGTATTTTACACCGGAAAAATATGGTGTATTGAAAGTATTGGCGTCTCTTTCCCACATTCTCCAAATGTACATCAGAATGTTCTCCGTAGGTTAGTATTTTCTGTGCCTGTAACGTTTCTCTATTTCGCAATGGCACTCTTCTCTTAGTGCCTACATCCGATGTATAATAGTACATGCTTAGATACTATGGCGTGTGATATTTTGGGTCATTGTAGCTTGGGTTGGGAGTTGTTCATGTATATTGTAAGTTGAGTATATGGCGGGTGTGTATACAAGTATTGTAGGTGACTTGTTGGGTATAGTAAACTTACCTGTCTTTAACTTTTAAATATAAAGAATAACTCATTCTGTCTGACTTTTGGGTTATCCTAGGTTCTCTACACATGCTGCTATGTATAATAATGTAACTGTGTATACCTGAATACACTTAGAGGGGGGGGATCATGGGGATGGGGAGTAGCCTCAAATTTACGAAAGGTTTTTCACTACATTACCTTTTTCTAATTGTCTTTCCTGGGCATTTGTTAAATTACAGTTTAAAGCATACGTAAAGTGTTAGCAACACATGCGTGTTAAAAGTTGACGTGTTAATATTAACTACAAACTCGCGGGGCGATAAGGCCCCCACTTCCCTCCCTACAGGCGTGGCCCTCATTGGGGGGGAGGTGAGGGATGCTGTGTACAGTGAGTGCCCAAGATGCCAGAGTAAGAGCTAACCAAGCAACGAGGGAGGTTGTGTAAGAAACGCCGGGGCTTCGGCCCTCTACCCATCACACCTGCCAATATACCTGTAGCTCATGACTGTTGTTTAAAGAATCAGCCGAAGTAATTCAGAATTCTGATACGGTGGTTAACTTGAAAAAACTTAAGGAATACTGTTATTGAATTTAAAGTGTTCTTTTGATTAGTTAATTGTGTTGGTAATCTAGAGGGCAACAAGACGATGGAAGTGCTGGCCAAGTGTGTCAACTCTGTGCCTCGCATTCTGGCTTCATGTAAGATGCGTTTGTGTCAGTTACCCTTAACCTCTGCCTCCTCACTAGTGCTGCTGCTAGTACTAGCGTATACAAAATATCACCAATACACCAGATAGTCTTGTATAGATATGTATACTGCATCAAAACAGTATCGAAGTTGCAATATTGTTTTACACGAAATGATTAGTCTCTTTCGGTAATTAGGCTTTGTATTAATAGTTTTCGTAATGCATCCTCAAGTTGTTTGAAGCTCCACATTATTGTAAGTAGCTTTTATGCATTATTAATGGTTAGTAACGTCACAAGATTTAACCGATATTGGTAGAAAGACGCGTAGTACAAAGGAAACCTTTATTGTATTATACATCTCGCCTTCATCACACGTCATGCGTGTCCTTCCAGGACCATAGTTTTTCCAACATTCTACGCCCTATTATTAGGTCTGCGTAGTAATACGAAAATTCATTAAAAAAAATGTTCCTGGAACTTTAATATTTTTCAGTTTACTCAACAAGTCTATTTAAAGACAGTTTAAATTTTAATAAATATAATGGCATTTTTGTTGCAGCGTGCGGGTACTGTAGTCAGCAAGTGTCATACGCTTCATCTGCCTCTCATACGTGTACCCCAGCCCACATGCCCACCACACACATGCCAGCGCCCGCGCCTTCCTTAACCCACACAAATACTTCTGGACGAACAATCAACCGGCGGACTGAACTTGACTACGAGGAACTGCGCGCCCTGCAGGTAGCAGGCGACATAGCCCTCATTGATGTTCGTGACTCCCAAGAACTGCAGAACTACGGCGACATTCCCGGCTCACTCAACATTCCTCGTAAGTCAACCATAGTCATACATTTAATTACTCGTACTGGTGATGATATTTTCATTTTCCGGGAAAAAATGTCTCCTGGTATGACCCCCCCCCCCCCCGCAATGATTAAACTGCTGTAGGGATTTAATCAGTGCCCTAAAATTTAAGAAAAAAAATATACTTTTCTGGCACAAATTTATATTTGCCTACAGTTCTTCCCTGCAAGTAACATTTTTGTTCCATATTTAAATATTTATTCCTGATTCCTGCATGTCAGTGAGGGACTCATGATTGAGGTGGACCAATCCTTTCCTTCCTTCCATTCTCCATGCGCTGTATGACCCCTACGGGTTTAATCCCCGATAATAATAACAGTTACCGAGATTTTTTCTCCAGCGAGTTAATGTGTATTTATTCATTCGTCTGCGTTGCTAATTTATATTGCCAACAAAGGACAATTTTTTTTTCTTGAACGCCCCTCGTGACTGCTTCCCTTGCATGGCGGCAGCAGCAGCAGTGAGAGATGCCCCAAGTTTGTCTACGCAGTTTATGACAGGGTCACGAAGTGCCTCTTGCCGGTCATGCAGTATGCAACCAGGGTGGCCCAAACTTTCATTGCCAGCTTGTAGATCGCAGAACAATTTCTAGGGCATCGCAGGATGACCAGTGATCGATGTCCCTTTGGTACTACTACTATATTATATATATAATTTATATATATATATTATATATATATATAAATGTCGTGCCGAATAGGCAGAACTTGCGATCTTGGCTTAAATAGCAACGCTCATCTTGCCATATAGGACAAGTGAAAATTTGTGTATGCAATAATTTCGCCAAAATCATTCTGAACCTAACGAAAAAAATATATTTCACTGTGTTTGTTTAGTATTAAATTACTGTAAACAAATCTAAATTTATTTAGTTGGGTTAGGCTAAAATTAATTGTTCTTGTTATAATAAGGTTAGGTAAGTTTTCTAAGTTCCTTTTGGTGCAAAATTATAAATTTTTACATCAACAGTAATGAAAAAAATATATATTTAAACGTATAAGAGAAAATTTAAAAAAGGACTTAATTTTAAATGAGTTCTTGCTAATTGACCAGTTTTACATATTCGGCACGACATATATATATATATATATTATATATATATATATATATATCCCCCTTTTAAAGTATGTTCGTTTCCTATTAGAGCGGGGACATTAGAAAATGCATTTTTCAAACTGCAAAACCAAGAGAGGAAGATATTTAGATTCAGCTATGTACCTACCTGCTTTAAGCCTCGCCGTCTGGCCGAGCACGGCGCACCCCATGACCTGCCGCCGTAGTAATAGTGTAGACCAGGGGTAGCCACATATTGTGCCAGAGCATCTATTTTGTACTATTTACTACTACCCTGAACACGCTTATATATATATATATATATTTATATATATTATATATATATATATATATATATATATTTATATATATATATTTATATATATTGTATATAAAATATACACGTGTATATACCCTGTGCTTATTGGGGGATTTCTTGAGGATTCCCACCCTCTTGAGTTGATAGGGATGGTAAGTAGCCTGTTTTGATGAGGGGGGGGGTGGAAGAGGTGCTAGAATGCTAATATCAGTGTTGCGGCATTTTATCATGAGGGTGTAATGGTGACTTATCTCTGACCATGATATATTTCCAGAGCAACTTGAACTAGTGCCCTAGTATTTCGGGATAGTACTACTTAGTCTTCTTACTCGGTATACTAGAGTATTATATTTTTTTGTCTTTTATCACAATTTTTTTAGCTTGCATTGTTTCTTACACGTAAGTCTCGGTTTACATTATTTCTCGTATATTGCTGTATAATGATTGTACATATTGCCATGTTTGAAAATAAGTCACTTTTTTGGGTTATCCTAGGTAATTTACATTATAATAATTTTACTTATATGTACCTGTACCTAAATAAATTTATTTACTTACGTTTTTGTCAAGGTCGCTGGTGTGTTGACGGTGAGTGGGGAGTCTTGGCACAAACACTGTAGTAAAAGATAGTTGGTAGTGGCAGGCTGGGTGAGTGGAGCGGCATGGCCACAGAAAGTGTTTAGTTGTGCAGCCTGAGCGGCTAGTTTGTGTACTTCATGCTCATCTTGTGAGCGGTAACGCAAAAAAAAAAAAAATTAGAGAGGTCACACTGGGTCCCTGTCACTGAGCATGACCAGAAGCATGTCCCTTCCTCACGTAGAGGGAGGCAGCACACATGACTAGGTGTGGTTCATACCTTGGCTGCCTGCCTGTCTGAGCTCGCTACCTCCTCAACCCTAACCTTATGAAAGTTTTTATTAAGGCTTGTGAGTGGGACAGGCCGGCGTCAACCCGCTACCTTTCCTCTTGAGAAAACCTCTCAGGCTACCTGTTACTGGTCTTACAATATTGAATAGCCTCTGATGACGCACTGAGACCTGTGAAAGATCTCGAGCTAAAGATTTCCATCCTCCAGTCCAGTGGCTTGTCTTTCATACATGTGTATATATAAATAATATATATATTCTCTCAACGTACCAGCCGTATCTCACTGAGGTGGGGTGGCCCAAAAGAAAAAACTAAAGTTTCTCCTTTTAAATTTAGTAATATATACAGAAGGGTATATATATATATTATATATATATATATATATATATAATATATATATATATATATATATTATATATATATTTATATATATATATTATATATATATATATATATATTTATATATATATATATATATATATACACATATACACACACATCACGAACGTTACATACTGACGTATACTGTTGACATTTACTGATGAGTTTTATTACACATGTGGCTTTAGTGTTTTCCCTGACTAGAATAAATGTTGACATTTACTACTTATTCTTGACATTGGTCCATCCAATGTATAAATGCAGCAGGATCTCTCACGTGATTTTAAGGTCTAATATAAATTACCCTTTTCAGTTTTTAAATATTAGCAGCAGCGCTGTATAGCCCTTGTGGTTTAGCGCTTCTTTTTTATTATAATTATTAGCAATTGATTAGGATTGGTTGCAAGTACTTCCATGGTAGAGCATAAACGACTTCTAGCCTTCTGTTAGAACCCTTTATCAGAGACTAAAAATACCTTGGCGTAGTCCCTTTTGTCGAGAGGTAGCGTGTACAACCAGCCACCTTGTTAATGCTGTAGGGTTGGCCTGGAGGCCGCAGTATCATGGCTGATCAGAGAAGCCTGGCTTTAGATTGAGCTGCGGAGTAGAGGAAAAAACTAGAAACCGGCCACTTAGTCTCCCTCCCCGTCCTAGAGAACACTGGTCCCGACATGTTGGCGCCAGGCGGTAATAAAACAGCCACAGCTATAACTGTTGTTACCTCGGGCTGTTTAGTTTTAGGCATTCAAACCTCCGCAATTTGTAAGTGGTTCTCAAAGATGTTAAAATAGAATTCTGTCAAATTAGATTTAGAAAAACTGCCTGCAGTCAGTTTTTTTTTTTATCCTGGGTAATTTACACTGACAGTTGTACTTGTGTACCTGTGCTTTAATAAACTTATTAAATACATAACACTTCATAGTGCGTGCAAGGCCCGGACCAGTAAATTATTTGTTTCAGAATCGGAATAAGGAAGAAAATGCATAAAATTATCGATAACTTGTAATAGTTGAAGTATCTACTGCGTTGATTTAATGGCCATGATACCTTTTACATAGCCCCAATACCAGGGAACCTTCACGCCTGGTATCTTAGTTGTAGATATCAACCTGCTGGTTACTTGTTCCCGTAGCAAGTATAAACCTTGTAAAATATTGTCACAACTTAGCCTACATAATGTTCCTAAGAATGTTCACATTAAAACAAACTAAATAAATTAGAATTGTTAGCGGATTGAAACAGCTCATAAATAACAAAATAATATTTGTTTTTATAAATACCTCATAACGTAATGACGCATTCTGGTAGTTATACTAGTGGCAGTAATGTTGAAATTTAGTTTTATAGGATAGCAAGGACTTCAGGTACATTTGGCAGCCTTCCACGTCACAGGTAGGCATCCCAGGCACCAAGGTCACCTACTATTTAGTTCAGTGGTAGGTTATCTTATCTAAGATATCCATTATATACAGAATAAGGTGTAGGGGATCGTAAAGTTTAGATATATACTTGGAAATGGTGAAGTAAACATGGATTGTTCAGGGAATGGATGATTTAGGCGATAAGGTTTTATCATAACTGCTAAGCAGGTTGTAGTATACCGTGATTTGACAATAATTAAACCATACCACGGGTGGGGTTTGAACCCCGCGGTCAGTCTCTCTCAAAACTCCAGACCAAGCTGTGATTGTGTGCGTCTGCGGTCCCCCAGCATCATCTGGTTGACCAGGCAAGCATCAGATAAGCTTGACCTAGAGCCGGGCTCCGGGAGTACAAAAATTCTCGAAACTCGAGGGAGGCAAAACGGGCCCTATTTTTTAATTGACATTTTTCAGTGAAAATTGCTCCTTTGCTACCTAGGATAAGTCACACCTGATCTTTTATCCTCTCATTAATATTAGGTGTGTAACTCCAAATTAGCCATCCACTATAATGAAGGGCTTTAACTTATAGGTTCCACGAATGTTTCCCCATTATTCGAACCCTAATATTTGTCGACATTGAATTGCCTGTGCCGCAGTTACATGTCTTCGTAGACTACTTACACTAGCTGGACAAGACCCTGGCCAGGACAGTATCGGCGAACCCCGTCTAATCCTTCCTAGACTGACAGATACCACTACTTTAATTTATTCTAAAGCGCATGGTATCTCAGTTGTTCATTAATGCAATTATTATATTTATGGGGAAACACCCGTAGGGGTCATAGAGCGCTTGGGGGAATGGAAGGTAATCAGGTTCTATCTCAGGAAGTAGAACCTCTTGAGAGATGTCATAGATGATAAAATACTCTGCTGGACCCACCAGTCATTTATTCCTAAGGTGTAAGCATCACGTGGCGTAGCATGTGTTAGTGACTGTACTTAAGAAACCAAACATGTGTAGCAACTCCGCCGCTTTGAGTCTAAGCCAATTATTGGAGTCCATACTAGAAGTGAGCCAATTGTGCCTGCCTACATTGTCCATGCTTGGGGCTGTATGAATGCTTAGTTAGCCGGGAAAGGTGCTAAAGTTTAGGTCTTTGCAGCTTTCTTCTAAAAATATACTTCTTTCTTTCAACACACCGGCCGTATCCCACCGAGGCAGGGTGGCCCAAAAGGAAAAACGAAAGTTTCTCCTTTTACATTTAGTAATATATACAGGAGAAGAGGTTACTAGCCCCGTGCTCCCGACATTTTAGTCGCCTCTTACAACATGCATGGCTTACGGAGGAAGAATTCTGTTCCACTTCCCCATGGAGATAGGAAATAAACAGGAACAAGAACTAGTAAAAAAAATAGAAGAAAACCCAGAGGGGTGTGTATATATATATGTTTGTACATGCATGTTTAGTGTGACCTAAGTGTAAGTAAAAGTAGCAAGGCGTACCTGAAACCTTGCATGTTTATGCAGAAAAATGGACACCAGCAATCCTACCATGTAAAACAATTACAGGCTTTCGTTTTACACTCGCTTGGCAGGACGGTAGTACCTCCCTGGGCGGTTGCTGTCTACCAACCTACTACCTAGAAAAATATACTTATTTTGACGAATCTTGTTAGGCCAGCAGGGTACAAAGGTTACAGCAGTGTCCTGCCAGTTTTAGGACTGGCTTACCTTGGGATTTCATGTAGCTTGCCCGTTCCGTTAGTTTAGTCATCTGGTTATGATTTCACGAGTCGTTGATATCCGTTAATAATTGTGTACTTGTTACTACTAAAACTTTCTTGAGGGTCACGTCTTCCCTTCATGATGCTCACCACACAACCCGACCTCATAACTGTTTTATAATTATTTTATATAAGTACATGTACAAGGTATCCAGACCATAGCTGACATCAGTAACATACTACTAGAAAGCTCCTTGTTATGCAGAGCATTTCTGGCAAATTAGGTCAGTTTTGTCCCAGGATGCGACCCACACCGGTCGACTAACACACGGGTACCCATTTTACTGATGGGTGAACATGGACAACCGGTGTAAGGAAACTCGCCCAATGTTTTCACCCTTGCCAGGAATCGAACCCAGACCCTTAGCGCGTGAATCGAGAGCTTTTGCTAACTCATCAGTGCCTAAGCTTCAGCACGTGCTATTCATCTAGGTCTTGTCTTTTAATAGACTGGAGTTTTGAATTAGATCTATTTTCCCTTCCCCCCTCAAGGAAAGTTCCTTGATGTTGGTGAGGGGCTCTTGATTTAGGGAATTGGATCTGTGCTCCAGTTCCCCGAATTAAGCCTGAATGCCTTCCACATCCCCCCCAGGCGCTGTATAATCCTCCGGGTTTAGCGCTTCCCCCTTGATTATAATAATATTTTCCCTTCCTTGGGTTATTTCGTTATTTAAAGTTGGTTTCGGTTAGGGGCGTTACACAGGTGTCAAATTCATTTATTTTTTTATTGATTATTCCCAGTATATGCGGTGACGTCTAAGGTGTTTAGCTAACTAGGTGTATATACAGATGTGTGCATATGTATATATGCAGAAAAAAAAATTATATTCTTTGTTAGAGATTAAGATATCCTAGACGTTAACTAGTGACTTGGGAATTAATTTTTCTCGTGTTAATAAACCTAAAATATAGGCGTATGAGGTCGGGGGGGGGGGGGGGGCGGCAACCCTCTGGAGTGAAAATGAACATCAGAGCGAAAATGGATATTTTTCAGGGCAGATTCTTTGATATCCATTGAATATTTATAGTTTAATTGCCTACTTAGAATGTTTCGTATATTGCTTTTAATATAGAATAAAGGACACTTAAAACATCAAGGATGATTTCCTTCCACCTCCCCTCCCCCCTAGTGCAGTATTATGCCACCTTCCCCCTCCCACCCACAGAGTATTATGCCTCACCTTCCCCTTCCCAAAGAGTATTATAGCACCTTCCCCCTCCCCCGAAAGTATTATGCCACCTTCCCCCTTCCCCCGGGAGTATATGCCACCTCCCCTTCCCCGAGTTAGTATTATGCACCTTCCCCTCCCCCCCGAGTATTTATGCCACCCTTCCCCCTCCCCCCAGTATTATGCCACCTTTCCCCCTCCCCGAGTATTATCCACTTCCCCACCGAGTTTATGCCACCTTCCCCCGAGTATTATGCCACCTCCCCCTTCCCGGTATTTATGCCACCTCCCTTCCCCGAAGAAGTATTATGCCCTTCCCCCACGAAGTATTTATGCCACCTTCCCTTCCCCGAGTATTATGCCACCTTCCCTTACCCCGAGTAGTATGCCACCTTCCCTACCCCGAGTATTATGCCACTTCCCCTCCCCCGAGTATACTATGCCACCCTTCCCCCTCCCCCGAGTGGTATTATGCCACCTTCCCCCTCCCCGACCGAGTATTATGCCACCTTCCCAGAGTATTATGCCACCTTCCCCATCCCCCGAGGTATTATGCCACCTCCCCCTTCCCCCGAGTATTATGCCACCTCCCCCTTCCCGGTATTATGCCACCTCCCCCTTCCCCGAGTATTATGCCACCTCCCCCTTCCCCCGAGTATTATGCCACCTTCCCCTTCCCCGAGTATTATGCACCTTCCCCTACCCGAGTATTATGCCACCTTCCCCCTACCCCGAGTATTATGCCACCTTCCCCCTACCCCGAGTGATTATGCCACCTTCCCCTCCCCGAGTATTATGCCACCTTCCCCCTCCCCCGAGTATTATGCCACCTTCCCCATGAGTATTATGCCACCTTCCCCCTCCCCCGGGTATTATGCCACCTTCCCCATCCCCGAGTATTATGCCACCTTCCCCTCCCCCGAGTATTATGCCACCTTCCCCCTCCCCCGAGTATTATGCCACCTTCCCCATCCCCCGAGTATTATGCCACCTTCCCCCTCCCCGAGTATTATGCCACCTTCCCCCTCCCCGAGTATTATGCCACCTTCCCCTCCCCCGAGTATTATGCCACCTTCCCATCCCCCGAGTATTATGCCACCTTCCCCATCCCCCGAGTATTATGCCACCTTCCCCATCCCCCGAGTATTATGCCACCTTCCCCATCCCCCGAGTATTATGCCACCTTCCCCCTCCCCCCAGTATTATGCCACCTTCCCCTCCCCCAGTATTATGCCACCTTCCCCTCCCCCCAGTATTATGCCACCTTCCCCATCCCCCCAGTATTATGCCACCTTCCCATCCCCCAGTATTATGCCACCTTCCCCATCCCCCCAGTATTATGCCACCTTCCCCATCCCCCCAGTATTATGCCACCTTCCCCATCCCCCAGTATTATGCTCCTTCCCCATCCCCCAGTATTATGCCACCTTCCCCATCCCCCCAGTATTATGCCACTTTCCCCATCCCCCCAGTAATTATGCCACCTTCCCCATCCCCCCAGTATTATGCCACCTTCCCATCCCCCAGTATTATGCCACCTTCCCCATCCCCCAGTATTATGCCACCTTCCCCATCCCCCCAGTATTATGCCACCTTCCCCATCCCCCCAGTATTATGCCACCTTCCCCATCCCCCCAGTATTATGCCACCTTCCCCATCCCCCCAGTATTATGCCCCTTCCCCACCCCCAGTATTATGCCACCTTCCCCATCCCCCAGTATTATGCCACCTTCCCATCCCCCAGTATTATGCCACCTTCCCCATCCCCCAGTATTATGCCACCTTCCCCATCCCCCGAGTATTATGCCACCTCCCCCATCCCCCGAGTATTATGCCACCTCTCCCCTCCCCCAGTAATGTGACGCCTCATTATACTTAATGTCTTAACAAACCTAACTACTACAGTATAATTTTAACTATTAATAAAATCTTGTTCATCTTTCTGCTGTGACATAAGGAAACAAAATGCAATAATTTTCCACTCGGTTCATTACAGTATATAATAAATTTGATCTCTGGGATCGTATTCCTGACTCAAGGTAATTGTAGTGAACTGTTAAGTGGTTGAATTAAATGAACCTTTGATTGGCTGTTGACCTTGATAGTTGCTTGAACCAAGTGGTGCTGGTTGAGGTGTCCTACCGAGTGTATTCTCCGTTAATTTGTCCTTGTCTGGGGTGACTATTTTTAAAAATGTACATATATGGTATTTAAAATTCTCTAAATATTGCTAGCTTATAGAATATGTTTCTCTAAAAGGTGCAAGATTTTAATCTTGTTATTTTACAGGCAATTATATGAATTATTATATGTTTTATAACTACATATGATGAACGATTTTTGCCTAATGCTGTTTCTAAATGTATTTCTTCGTTTTTATAAATAATTTTTTTTTACAGTTGGTAAGATAAAGGATGCCCTACAGCTATCCAAGGATGAATGGGAGAAAGAATTCCACAGACAGAAGCCTGACATAGGATATCGTAACCTTGTATTCTATGCTCGTGGCCCAAATGCTTCCAGTGCTGCAGTGGAGATTGCCCATCGTCTTGGTTTCAAGAGGCAAGTTTTACTTATTTACAAGAACTACAAATCAGTTTGTTGCCAAAGTTCATTGCATTTCATTACATTGGCTAGGCAGAAAAATACTACAGTTTGTCAGTGCTCTAATAGGCAAAATAGACTAATTTTCAAAAGATTTCTGTTATTCTTAATGCTCATTATGTTAACTGCTGTTGTGAAAATTGTAATATCTTACTGTAATAGTTAGTAGAATGACTTGGAAGGTGTAAAAATCTGTAGTGGAGGGGAGGAGGGGTAGGGGTTGTCCTAGGAAAGGATGGAGGGAGGGGATGAAAGAGGTTTTGTGTGCAAGGGGCTTGGACATACAGCAGGCATATGTGAGTGTGTTAGATAGGAGTGAATGGTGACAGATGGTTTTTGGGACCTGATAAGCTGTTGGAGTGTGAGCAGGGTAATATTATGTGAAGGGATTCAGGGAAACCACTTAGCTGGACTTGAGTCCTGGAGGAGGGAAGTATAATGCATGCACTTTAAAAGAGGGATTCAGGATATTGGCTGTTTGGAGTGACATCTAATCTGTCACATCTGGGCACCTCTGCCAATGCAGTGATTGTGTGAATGATGGTGAAAGTGTTTTCTTTTTTGGGTCACCCTGCTTTGGTGGGAGATGGCCGACGTGTTGAATGGAAAAAAAAAAAGTTATGTATGATTTAAAACTTAAATACTTGCAAAATATTTTCATACTGAAGTTTGAATATTACCTTCATGGGAGACCACTTAACTAGTGTGTCATACAGCATGTAAGGATGAGGAGGCAGTCAGATTTGATCCAAGGAAGGAAGGGAGGGAGGTAGTGCCAATTTCTTTGATGAAGAGCCCTTTAATGGCATCAAGAGTGGAGTTTGAATGGCCCTCGAGCTAATGTATGGAGCACCCAAGCATACATGCAGAATTTATAACAAGATTTGTTTTACCAGGTCGCGGCATTACATTGGAGGTTGGGAGGATTACTGCAGACAGACAGGCCGACCACTGAAGAAGCTACAAGATGATGGCTTCAGAGCCAGAAGTAATTACTACACTACCAATTTCAATCAATATCTTTTTTGAGAAGTAAAGGAACTTCTTTAATTTTGTTTCACAGAACTGTAGCAGGGAAGTGCTTAGTTTCTTAGAAATTTATTTTTTTATATACCACTGAAGTTATGTCTAAAATAAATTGAATGGTTTTGTGACAACAGTAAGTGAAAGTAGTCCTTAAATTTTTTGGTCTTCAGCTTAAGTGTTGATTTCAAAGATATTGAGAAAACTAAGATCAGTGTCTAAGAAAGTTGCAATTATTGTACCTGGGATTTGCCCTTCAGAATTGTTCATAAGTACTTTGCTTGTTCAGTCATCTAGACTTATGTCATTATGTAAGAAAAAGAATGAATTTCATCTTTTATCCATTAAGAGAGAACAGTGTAATATAGTTGATATTCAGTACTATAAATTAACTTTCCTTTAGTGCTGGTAGTTGTGTGTTGACAAAATTTCTACCTCTACACACTGGTTAATAGTTTTTTTTTATATTATATACATACAATTAAATTTTTGGTTGGTGTTTTAGGTACGGCAATACCTTTACTTTTAATCACTCGTCAAAAGCAGTGACCACTAGCAATGGATAAAATATATATTGTTCCATTCTTATGACATTCTAATATACAGACTCCTCCTACCATATTGATTGTATGACTCGGTTAGAAGATACTCTTATAAAATGTGAAACTTTTTTCTTAATCTTTTAGAAATAGCTTCAAATATAGGTCGAAACAGTATTTAGAAAAGATATTTTATTAAGTAGGGAAGAAAAACCTTCAAACCAATTTAATTATTGCATGACAATGCAGTTATTTAAAGCACACTAGTTACAGAATTATGTAAAAGTTCTTATTCATGGTGCTTAGAAATTTAGAAATATGCTATTACAAGATTTAAATGTTGTAAGTTTTTACTTTTCACCATGCAAATTATGTATGTATATAGTAAAATTGTTAGAAATTCAGTATGACACCAAATTATCAGGATTTAAAGAGACCTATATTATACTTTTTCTAATGAAAATGAGGAAATCTCGGCATTGTCATAGGTTTCGTTTGTAAATTTAAAAGTAAACCCTCAGTATAATAGACTAGTGGGGGAGGGGGAGAATTGTCCTGTTAAAATAAAAGGCACTAAAGTGCTCTACAGTTTGGTTAACATTGTACACACAATTTACTGATGTACTGCAATAAACATTGAAAATGAAGGAGGTAAAAGAACAATTTACCCAGTGAATTTTGCTCATAATTTTGAAGTCTGTTATATCAATGTCCATTATCAAGGGTTTACTGTATAGCTTTCAGAAAAGAAAAATCTGAAATGCTTCATGTGTAATCAGTTTATAAAATCTTTTGAGATGGTTCAAAAGGTGAGGATATTTCTTCAAAGTTTGTATGATTACAGTAAATTTAGTGCCTCTTCATGAATGAAACAAAAACATTAAAAATCTGCATAGTCCTGTACTTTATTGTAATTTAATTTTATTGTGATTAGTGTACCAGAGAACCTCAGTACCCACAGTTTGCTTGGTATTTGTTTTGAGCATTTTGTGGGCCTTGATGTTTCTCTGCTGAGACAAGCTGGTAAAAAAGTTTGGTTAAGTAAACTCAATAATCAGCCAAACTTTCTCACCAGAGAACTAAGGAAGAGTGTTGCAGGTTGCTTTTTCTTGATACTATGATACCAGTGAAAAAAGTTATAAATTAACATGAAACAATTTTATTATCAAAGCATCAAGAATAACTGTAGTCAAGGAGCGGGTACTGTGTTAATACTTTTATATATGTACTTTTTATTTACTATTTTCCTGGATTATTGACAATCATTAAAATTTGAATTAAATTTGTATCTTTTTATTATGCAGTGCTAGTGGTTATTTTTTTTTTTTTTCCAGACATGCTAAACCAGTACTGGTGATTATAGCACATGGGGGGAGGGGGGATATAAAGCCAAAATGCATTTAATAGTTATAATAGTGGAAACTTGGTTTTCGTGATTAATCAGTTCTAAAAAATCTGATAACTGAATTGTACGAAAACTGAAGCAATATTTCCCATAATGTAAATCCAATTAATCTGTTCCAGACACCCAAAAATATTAACAATACATTTTTTAGACTAACTGGTTTTACATGCATAAGACAATGAGAAATAAATATAATGACTAATGATATGGATAAATGAACATTTAACATCACTTTTACCTTTATTGAAGACTTGTTGGCATATGGAAGACAGCAAGGAGGGGAAAGGGAGGAGGAGAGATTGCTGGGAAAGGGAATCCCCTTCCATAAGGACTTCAGGCATCAAGGCCCTATCCGGGGTTGCATCCCTTCTTCGTCTTTTACTGGCACTAGGACCAGCTGAAGTCACTGTACCCCTGTCGCACAAAATTTGTACAGAGGTCTGTTTCTGGCATATAAGATTTGCCTAAAATGGGACGAGGCATTGTCATCGAACATTGTTGCAGACATGGCTTGCAACAGCTTTGTTAGGGTGATATTTCTCCACAAAAATTTGCAACTCACTCCACTTTGCACACTTGTCCTTAATCACTGAAGAAGGCATTCTCCCCTCTCCCTTCCTTTTCCTCAGCTGTAGTCTGTTGCTGTTCCAGTTGAAGGTCTTGCAGCTCTTTCCTGTGGTTGTCCACCAACACTTCCACATCCTGGCCACTCGCATCCAACCCCACGGACTTCCCTAATTTAGCAGTTGCACTCTAACACAAAAAACAATGGATTATTACGAAATGTTTCAGATGAACATGTGGGGTGATGCTCACTCAACGAGAAACAAAGGCAGACTGAGTCAAACGCTTGGGATGCTTTGTGTGGGAGCTCGAGTGGCCAAGTCACGCGGATGCGTTTGGTACGAACCATTTTTAACTCGACAAAAACTGAGATGTATGAAAATTGGTACAAAATTTAAACAAAAAAAGTTGTTGAAAACCGAATCCTACGAAAACTGGGGCATACGAAAACAGTGGTTCCAATGTATACAATTAACATTAACAAAAATGTTTTATTGGATAAGAAAAGAGTACACAATCATACACACACAGCCCTTCAGTAAGAATATAAGTGCACATATAAAATTACATTTAAATTAAATTTTTAATCATTTACAAGTTTTGTGCAATGTACAGAATTGTGAATGAATATAATAAGAAATTTATATAGCAAAATAATCAAACATACATTGTAAAGAGAGAACAAAAACAAGAGCTCCAAAGCTTATGCTATGGGGTGTATGTGAGACTGAGAGGAGGTAATCTTGCAGAGCGATCTCCTCCTAAGGTAACTCGAGGTCGTACTCTGCTCACTAAGACACTACCACAATCATCCTGCTGCAGGATAAAATAAAAAAAAATTAGGTTAATATCATTATACTGTAAAAGTGAGGGGCAGTGCTATATTAAAATGAATTAAGATAAGGCAGTAGGTTGGTAGACAGCAACCACCCAGGGAAGTACTACCATCCTGCCAGATGACTCTGTGAAATAGAAACCTGTAACTGTTTTGCATGATGGTAGGATTGCTAGTTTCTTTTTCTGTCTCATAAACATGCTAGATAACAGGGATATCTTGCTACTCCTACTTACACTTTGGTCACACTTCACAGACACGCACATGCATATATATATATATACATCTAGGTTTTTCTCCTTTTTCTAAATAGCTCTTGTTCTAATTTATTTCTTCTATTGTCCATGGGGAAGTGGAAAAGAATCTTTCCTCCATAAGCCATGCGTGTCGTATCAGGCGACTAAAATGCCGGGAGCAATGGGCTAGTGACCCCTTCTCCTGTAGACATTTACTAAAAAAGAGAAGAAAAACTTTATAAAACTGGGATGCTTGAATGTGTGTGGATGTAGTGTGGATGACAAGAAACAGATGATTGCTGATGTTATGAATGAAAAGAAGTTGGATGTCCTGGCCCTAAGCGAAACAAAGCTGAAGGGGGTAGGGGAGTTTCAGTGGGGGAAAATAAATGGGATTTAATCCGGAGTATCTGAGAGAGTTAGAGCAAAGGAAGGGGTAGCAGTAATATTGAAGGATCAGTTATGGAAGGAGAAAAGAGAATATGAATGTGTAAATTCAAGAATTATGTGGATTAAAGTAAAGGTTGGATGCGAAAAGTGCGTCATAATAAGCGTGTATGCATCTGGAGAAGAGAGGAATGTAGAGAAGAGTGAGAGATTTTGGGAGATGTTAAGTGAATGTATAGGAGCTTTGAACCAAGTGAGAGAGTAATTGTGGTAGGGGACCTGAATGCTAAAGTAGGAGAAACTTTTAGAGAGGGTGTGGTAGGTAAGTTTGGGGTGCCAGGTGTAAATGATAATGGGAGCCCTTTGATTGAACTTTGTATAGAAAGGGGTTTAGTTATAGGTAATACATATTTTAAGAAAAAGAGGATAAATAAGTATACAAGATATGATGTAGGGTGAAATGAAAGTAGTTTGTTGGATTATGTATTGGTAGATAAAAGACTGTTGAGTAGACTTCAGGATATACATGTTTATAGAGGGGCCACAGACATATCAGATCACTTTCTAGTTGTAGCTACACTGAGAGTAAAAGGTAGATGGGATACAAGGAGAATAGAAGCATCAGGGAAGAGAGAGGTGAAGGTTTATACACTAAAAGAGGAGGTAGTTAGGGTAAGATATAAACAGCTATTGGAGGATAGATGGGCTAATGAGAGCATAGGCAATGGGGTCGAAGAGGTATGGGGTAGGTTTAAAAATGTAGTGTTAGTGTTCAGCAGAAGTTTGTGGTTACAGGAAAGTGGGTGCGGGAGCGAAGAGGAGCAATTGGTGGAATGATGATGTAAAGAGAGTAGTAAGGGAGAAAAAGTTAGCATATGAGAAGTTTTTACAAAGTAGAAGTGATGCAAGGAGGGAAGAGTATATGGAGAAAAAGAGAGTAGTGAAGCAATGTAAAAAGAGAGCAAATGAGAGACTGGGTGAGATGTTATCAACAAATTTTGTTGAAAATAAGAAAAAGATTTGGAGTGAGATTAACAAGTTAAGGAAGCCTAGAGAAGAGAACAAATGAATTTGTCAGTTAAAAATAGGAGAGGAGAGTTATTAAATGGAGAGTTAGAGGTATTGGGAAGATGGAAGGAATATTTTGAGGAATTGTTAAATGTTGATGAAGATAGGGAAGCTGTGATTTCATGTATAGGGTAAGGAGGAATAACATCTTGTAGGAGTGAGGAAGAGCCAGTTGTGAGTGTGGGGGAAGTTCATGAGGCAGTAGGTAAAATGAAAGGGGGTAAGGCAGCCGGGATTGATGGGATAAAGATAGAAATGTTAAAAGCAGGTGGGGATATAGTTTTGGAGTGGTTGGTGCAATTATTTAATAAATGTATGGAAGAGGGTAAGGTACCTAGGGATTGGCAGAGAGTATGCATAGTTCCTTTGTATAAAGGCAAAGGGGACAAAAGAGAGTGCAAAAATTATAGGGGGATAAGTCTGTTGAGTATACCTGGTAAAGTGTATGGTAGAGTTATTACTGAAAGAATTAAGAGTAAGACGGAGAATAGGATAGCAAATGAACAAGGAGGCTTTAGGAAAGGTAGGGGGTGTGTGGACCAGGTGTTTACAGTGAAACATATAAGTGAACAGTATTTAGGTAAGGCTAAAGAGGTTTTTGTGGCATTTATGGATTTGGAAAAGGCGTATGACAGGGTGGATAGGGGGGCAATGTGGCAGATGTTGCAGGTGTATGGTGTAGGAGGTAGGTTACTGAAAGCAGTGAAGAGTTTTTACGAGGATAGTGAGGCTCAAGTTAGAGTATGTAGGAAAGAGGGAAATTATTTCCAGTAAAAGTAGGCCTTAGACAAGGATGTGTGATGTCACCGTGGTTGTTTAATATATTTATAGATGGGGTTGTAAGAGAAGTAAATGCGAGGGGTCTTGGCAAGAGGCGTGGAGTTAAAAGATAAAGAATCACACACAAAGTGGGAGTTGTCACAGTTGCTCTTTGCTGATGACACTGTGCTCTTGGGAGATTCTGAAGAGAAGTTGCAGAGATTGGTGGATGAATTTGGTAGGGTGTGCAAAAGAAGAAAATTAAAAGTGAATACAGGAAAGAGTAAGGTTATGAGGATAACAAAAAGATTAGGTGATGAAAGATTGGATATCAGATTGGAAGGAGAGAGTATGGTGGAGGTGAATGTATTCAGATATTTGGGAGTGGACGTGTCAGTGGATGTCTATGAAAGATGAGGTGAATCATAGAATTGATGAGGGGAAAAGGGCGAGTGGTGCACTTAGGAGTCTGTGGAGACAAAGAACTTTGTCCTTGGAGGCAAAGAGGGGAATGTATGAGAGCATAGTTTTACCAACGCTCTTATATGGGTGTGAAGCATGGGTGATGAATGTTGCAGCGAGGAGAAGGCTGGAGGCAGTGGAGATGTCATGTCTGAGGGCAATGTGTGGTGTGAATATAATGCAGAGAATTCGTAGTTTGGAAGTTAGGAGGAGGTGCAGGATTACCAAAACTTGTCCAGAGGGCTGAGGAAGGGTTGTTGAGGTGGTCCGGACATGTAGAGAGAATGGAGCGAAACAGAGTGACTTCAAGAGTGTATCAGTCTGTAGTGGAAGGAAGGCGGGGTAGGGGTCGGCCTAGGAAAGGTTGGAGGGAGGGGGTAAAGGAGGTTTTGTGTGCAAGGGGCTTGGACTTCCAGCAGGCATGCGTGAGCGTGTTTGATAGGAGTGAATGGAGACAAATGGTTTTTAATACTTGACGTGCTGTTGGAGTGTGAGCAAAGTAACATTTATGAAGGGGTTCAGGGAAATCGGCAGGCCGGACTTGAGTCCTGGAGATGGGAAGTACAGTGCCTGCACTCTGAAGGAGGGGTGTTAATGTTGCAGTTTAAAAACTGTAGTGTAAAGCACCCTTCTGGCAAGACAGTGATGGAGTGAATGATGGTGAAAGTTTTTCTTTTTCGGGCCACCCTGCCTTGGTGGGAATCGGCCAGTGTGATAATAAATATAAAAATAATATTTGGACAGATCCCAAGAAAACAGATCTCAAACACTAGATCACTAAATAAAAAAAAAAGCTAGATACACACTTCAAAATCAAAGTTTTATTCTTTATCAACCAATATAGGCATGATAATGTGAAGCAATAATTTAATGTCAAGACCTAAACCTAAATTCGGAAGTTGCAAAAAAAAAAAAAAAAAAAATCAGGACCAAACACTATGCTGAAAGGTATTCAGCATTAACTGATAATTACTGGACTGTTAGATCGGTAAAACTATTAAATAAGAGTAACCACTGTAAAATATCTTTGCTGTATGACCCTTGTAGGTTTAGCACTTCTTTTTTATTATAATAATTTAAAATATCTTACATGAAAACCAAGGGACCTAGAGTAGGTAAGACAATAGAAGTGTGTTGCTCAAACTAGGAGTGCAATTAAACATGTATATTGAAGGGGATCATAGGTAGTAGGTTGGCAGACAGCAACCGCCCAGGGAAGTACTACTGTCCTGCCGAGTGTAAATTATTATTATAATCAAGGGGAAGTGCTAAACCCGTAGGATGATTGCATTAAGGAGTGCATAGCGTTACCAGATTTGATCTGCATCTTGTGGTGTAAGTAGCATCAGATCATGCCATTGGGAAAGACAGTCAAGTTTACCCAACACTACCCCTCAAGGAAGGTTCCTTGATGTTGGTGAGGGGCTCTTGATCTAGGGAACTGGATCTGTGCTCCAGTTCCCTGAATTAAGCCTGAATACCTTCCATCCCTCCCCACAGGCGCTGTATAATCCTACAGGTTTAGCGTTATGCCCTTGATTATAATAATAATAATAATTGCCCAACACTTATTGATATATCTGGAGCAGTCTACAGCTGTATGCTGCAGTAGTACATGACCAGAGGAGAGACAGGTGCAAAACTTCGGAGATGGAAGGAGAAAGGAACACACTGACTACTGGGATGTCCCAAGGTGGGAAAGCAAGGTAGCAAATAGTAAACTGAAAGGAAGAGAGAAAAGGAGAAGCAACAAGAGTCTTAAGGCAGAGATGGGAAAGGAGAGTAATAATGAGAGAGGCCAACTGAAGGTGGTAGCTCATAACATCAGTTTCCTCCACATACATTATGAAGGTGAACAGAGATAATAGAGGTTATGCAAAGACAGCATATCAGATTGCACACAGGCTTGGAACTGTAGATAAACATTAGGCACCCAGACACACACAAACCCTGATGGTGAACAACACCCAACTTGAGGTAGCAGAGACTAAGGAATAAACTTAGTTTTTATAATCAAGTTTGATTGTAACTAAGGCTGAATGAGGATAAAGATCTTACAATTTACTCCATGTAAAGTGTGACAAAAAAATTAAGAAAATTCAGTCTGCCAAGACATGCCACCTTCATATGCAACAGATGAATTTCCCTGCATTTGGTAATTAAAGAGGACAAGCAGTTTGGAGGGATATGTTGTGTATCTTTATACGTATATGCTTCTAAACTGTTGTGTTCTGAGCACCTCTGCAAAAACAGTGATTATGTGTGAGTGTGGTGAAAGTGTTGAATGATGAAGAAAGTATTTTCTTTTTGGGGATTTTCTTTCTTTTTGGGTCACCCTGCCTCGGTGGGAGACGGCCGACTTGTTGAAAAAAAAAAAAAAGTAATTATGTCTGACTGGCCAGGATGGGATAACCATATAGAAAGAGCAGATTACATTACAGCACAGTGTGTAGCACTGTATGGCCCTTTTGGGTTTAGTGCTTATTTTGAGTACAGTGGACCCCTGCTTAACGATCACCTCCCAATGCGACCAATTATGTAAGTGTATTTATGTAAGTGCATTTGTACGTGTATGTTTGGGGGTCTGAAATGGACTAATCTACTTCACAATATTCCTTATGGGAACAAATTCGGTCAGTACTGGCACCTGAACATATTTCTGGAATGAAAAAATATCATTAACCGGGGGTCCACTGTATATTATTATTTAGTATACAGTAATATTTTTATAATTCTTTTTTGGACACGGACTAAAGCCACTTAATCTAGTCCATTTATAATAGTCTACCAAATGCAGTGGCACCTCGAGTTACGAACTTAATTCGTTCCAGAAGGCTACTTGAGTGCTAATTTCGAACGAATTTGTTCCCATAAGGAATAATGTAAATTAGATTAGTCTATTTCAAACCCTCAAGAATACACTTACAAAAGCACTTACAAAAATACACTTACATAATTGTTCGAGTTGGGAGCTGTTAGAAACTCGAGGTACCACTGTACTGTATTACAATAATGACATCACCAGTTAAAAGTTTCCACCAATACAATCAATGGCATGATCATCCACATTTAAAGAGGACTAAATCCTGAGAAAGCATAGAGGCAAGATCACCGATGGTGATCAGGATCTAGGTCGTGCTGAGGGCATGCCCTTGGGAAACCCCTTTGGCTTTAAAATCCAAGGATATTGTCTATTAAAAAAATAGAAACTAACGTTATACAAATGGTTATCCAAAAAAGATACTTTAATTATTAACTATATTAGGACTGAACAAGAATATCTAATATTTAGTAAAATAGGTAAACTTTCAAGCATAGCACAAGATAAAGTAATAAAACAGTAGATGCAAGGCCTGAGGAAATTCTGAAGCCCATTCATAAATGTATTACATCAAATCACCAGTCATAGCAGTGGTATTCATTGCGCGGCTTGCGAGCCGCTGGCGGCTCGCGATGACTCAATTCACGGTTCTCGAAAAATATATAAATTAATTAATAAGAAAAAATATATAGAAAAATAATTTTTCAAGTAAGATACATATTTTCATGAGGTGAGATGGAAGACGAAGTCACAGTAAGAGATAACATTCTAACATCCCTACCCTAGTCGTACAGAAATCATACGTGTCCACTACGGGAAACTGATCAGGAACACGTCTAGCTCTAGGCGTCGGTGGTCTCCCTGAATCAGTTGAGTTCAAGCTTTCGGGGGAGACTGGACGTATTTCGTTACTCTTGGAGATTTGTGTTTGAGAATAGGCAACAGATATTTGAGACTGCGGCAACATATATGAAAGTAATGACTTAACTGTTGCTGCTTGCGGAAGCTAGCTGCGATGGGCTAGTTTTACTTGAAACCAATGTGCAGTCAAGTAGTGTCCGTTATGATGGATCGATTTGAGTTAAGCAGCAACTAGCACACTTCCGCTCATCACAGCATTAAGTAAGTTTGGTCTTTATTTTGCTATTAATAACAAGATATGCAGGCTAATATTACCATGTCTAATTTTTCCCATTTGCTATATTGCACTAGCAGCTCAGTACCACTTAATTTAGTTGAGTTACGCTAACTTGCAGTAGCTGCGGCTCTCTCAATCAATGTTTAACCGAAGTGGCTCTCTTGCAAAAATTAGTGAATAACACTGAGTCATAGATTCTACTCATAAAATTCCCCTTATACTTTTTCACTATTTATAAAACAATGTATTATTTTATAATAGTTATTTATAACACCTCACAATTTACACAAAATCTACAATTCTATAAAATACTCACTGTGTTTTGTTCAGTGTGTTGTCGTCTGTTAGCAATTTCCCTCAACATAGTCTTGCCACTTTCTCGAGTCTGCAGCAAAAGAGAATATTCCATAAACTGAACATGCTCTTATTACTACAGTACTTGTTTTCTGCTTATAATGAAATATATGAAATCTGTTATGAATTCTTCTTGAGGAAAGTGAGGCACAGGTTAAGGTGGGTCATAGACAAATGTGTGATGTTGCTATTGTTTAAATTTATTTTTTTTAATAATGGGATTCACAGACCTGCAATATTCACATTTTTCTGGGATTTTGTGTAAGTTGTTTATGCTAAACATTAAATGGATTTAAATTTTACAATCAGTATTCCTGTTTCTTTTACCTTCTTAGTAACACAGTGTGGATGAAAAAATAGGGAAGCAAATGGTATTTCCCAAAAATTCCTTAAGGCAGCAACTTCTCAAGTTAAAAAAAAAATAAATATAATAAAAGACTTCTGCATACCTTCTCAAATCCAGGGCCATGAAAGTGGTACCCAAATAATACATATTCATGAAATTATTACTTTGTGCATTAAAAGCATACTTACTTCCATGAATAGAGTACATTTCTGAGCATAATCATAAGCCAAATCAAGCATATTTTTCTGAAGGCAGTAACTTGCCAGGAACTGATACGCTAGTCCTCGGTCCTCACTTAGGCCAGCATCTTCAGTTTCCTGCAGGTATCGCTCATAAAGAACTGCTGCACGCTCCCCTTCTCCTAAGCGAGTGTATAACCTGTAAAGCAAAAAGTCTACCTCTATAGACTCAATATGCTATAGTCCACTAAATATAGAAGAGCCATGCAAAATTTTCCACAAACACAATCATTAATTAGAGATGCTGATACTGCTGCAAGGGTGACAGGTAATTACTAAACTGAAGTTACAAATTCATTTAAATAGTGCAGGACAGAACAGAAAGACGGGATATTACTAACCTGATGGATGAACAGACAAAAATAAAAAAACAGAGAATGTGCTCTGTTTTGTTATAATAAATAATTGTTATTTCTACATGATACAACATATACACAAATACAGTAGGGCCCCGCTTTACGATGTTTCACCTTACGGCATTCTGCTAATACGGTGATTTCAAATTATGACCAAAACTCGCTATACGACAACCATCTTTCTAATACAGCACACCCCACTGGGTTTGTTTACATTCTCCATGAGCACATCTCTATTATGTCCAGAAATTTTCCAAAATCTCACGTGTTTTGAAGTTACTGCATGTTTATATGTGCTCTGATAATAATACTTGTGTACCTGTACCTAATATACTTACACACTGTGTTGGCGTGCAGGTATATATTAAAATCACTAAAAGTGTTCCTCTAGTCTTAACCCTTTCAGGGTCCAAGGCCAAAATCTGAAGTGGTGCCCCAGTGTCCAAGAATTTAAAAAAAAAAAATTTTTTATTTTTTCTTATGAAATGGTAGAGAATCTTTTTGTGAATGTAATAAAACAAAAAGTACGAAATTTGATGGAAAACTGACGAAATTATGCTCTCGTGAATTTTGATGTGTCAGCGATATTTACGAATCGGCGATTTTGCCGACTTTGACTCCCATTTTAGGCCAATTACATTATTCCAGTCGACCAAATTCTTAGCTATTTCACTAGTATTACTTCTATTCTATCGATTGAGCACAAGAAATCGCCAAGTCAACTGTTTCAACTACAAAATAAAGTGACCGGAAATTGGTAATTTGGCCAATTTAAGACAAAGTTCAAAATATTCCAATTTCAAAATAGGGTCCAGAATAAACAATGTAGGTATTCCTGGCACTAAACTAACATTAACTCTGTTCATTAGTTATGTTTTGAGGCTTTACAAATAAATTCCATTTTGATTTTTCATTCACATAATGAATTTTTATTCACACCAAAAAATAGAAGATTTACTGTTATGCAATATTGTAATAATTGTATAAATGTCATCACCACATTTGTGAATGTATATTGGACCCACCAGCTGGCGTGTATTAGACGTGTGAGGTCGTTTGTTTACTCCTGAACATCGGCAAAAATTTAACATTTCCGCCACTTTGAGCTCAGTTTCAAGCCATTTCCAGTGCTAACACCAATCAAAATTATCTCTATTTCTGTAATATGTCTTCCATTCTATCAAATGAGACCAAGAAATCACAAATACAACTATAAAAAACATACGAAAAAACACTGCAAAGTCGCTATTTTAATCGAAAATCATGGTCTCAGTTTTTTTTCTCTCATTATACAGAGTGTGCTGCAGGATTTGTTTTATGTGGTGCACACATACCACATAGATGTATTCTCTCATATCTAGGCCCAAATTTACCACTCACAGTTTATCAGAGTGAGCTGAGCTCATGACGTAGATCTACGGTTTGGACCCTGAACGTAAAGCCGTAGATCTACGGGACGGACCCTGAAAGGGTTAAAGCCATAGTAATACTAATAGTACGTAATAATAATCACTCTTGGGCACATTACGTGTCTTATTTTACATTAATATAGACATTTTCATTAATCCATCTATGATATTTTCTTCAAAATTACATAAAAAACACATTACATAGCATATAAACATGCCATGTTTATATGCTATGGAGGTGTGGTAGCTGGGCAGGGGGAAAACATTACGTTTCCTCTGGTCCAGCACCAGAGAAAATGTGTACGAATCTGTGTTTGGCCCAGGTGTGGCCCAGGTGTAGCCCACCTGGGCTACACCTACCGGATACCTACACCTGACTTCCTACAAATAAATATTACTCATCTCTCGCCCGACATTAACAAGACTACAAATATTTTAAGTTAAGTAATGAATGTACTGTGTATGTATTTTACTTTTTCTTATGTTTTTTAATGCCTAGTTCTGTTAGTAACTTAATATAATTTATGAGTAAACTTGTTGTTAGGCATTTATATGCATTTATAAGTGGAAAAAAATGGCGTTCCGCTTTCCGGCTATAGCCTGAAACCTAATTTGCCATATAACTGGGGCCCTACTGTAACCTGAACATAGGAGAAAGAAACTCTTGATGATGTTTCAGTCTGACTTGGACCAATAACTAGTCCAACAAGTGACAATCTCACCTCTTGTTATAACAGATTTAAATTCACAGAAACAAATAAAAAAAATGCAGAATGCTATATACAATTAAATAACACTTAATTCAAATAGATATTCTAATTCTGAAGGTAAGAATTTTATAGGTTAAGATATGTTGTGTATCTTTATACGTATATGCTTCTAAACTGTTGTGTTCTGAGCACCTCTGCAAAAGCAGTGATAATGTGTGAGTGTGGTGAAAGTGTTGAATGATGATGAAAGTATTTTCTTTTGGGGATTTTCTTTCTTTTTTGGGTCACCCTGCCTCGGTGGGAGACGGCCGACTTGTTGGAAAAAAAAAAAAAAAAAAAAAATGCTTACCTTGCTTCTTATGAGTACGTGCTACTACCTAACTGATTGCAACAGTTTTTCTTTTTCCAAGACTTGTTAGTATCATAGACCTTCATGTCCAGCTTGTAATAATCTGTATAGAAAATTTTCAACTAACCTTTAGTGCAAGCAAGAGGTGCCTGCTTCTTTCCTAGCCTAATTTATAAGCAAATGTTCTAAATGTTCTTGGTAAGACTTAAACAACTGAAGATATAGAGATGACAGCAAGTCATGTTAGTGGCTTTCTTTTGTGTACTTCGTTACATGTAAACTACTGTCTATATACAGGGGGACCCTGCATATGCAGTATCTATTTTTGTTTTCCATATTTTCGTTGGCTTTCAACTGAACCATTCTTCCACCCATCTGTGACAATCACTAGCTGGTGGAACATAATGAACAATGGCTCAATTTGAAAGCAATGTTAACAGTGAACATCAAAAAGAAGGTGCTGTATACAGGGGGCCCTCCTGTACTGCATAAAAGAAATAAAGAATTAAATTTGAATAATTATAAAAAAAGAAAAAATTCTGTCATGTTAAGAATGTACAGTGGTACCCTGAGTTTCATACAGCTCCCAACTTGAACAATTATGTAAGTGTATTATTGTAAGTGCTTTTGTAAGTGTATTTTTGGGGGTCTGTAATGAATTAATCTAATTTACATTATTTCTCATGTGAACAAATTCGTTCGGTAATGGCACTCGAACAGCCTTCTGGAACGAATTATGGCCAAAACTCAGGGTACCATTGTATTAAGGATGACAAGAGCAATACAATGATTCAATTACATGCCCTCTAAGTCACATAAATATGCCTGACTGAGGACATGCAAAGCATATGAAATAATACCGTTTGCTGTAATTTCTTTCTTTCTTTAACTTGTCTCACCAAAATTTGTAAATGAACAAAGTACACGTGTGTAGCACCAGAACACACTTAACCATATGTGGCAACAAGATCTGACTGAGCATAGTCACAGGCACTAGCTACTCTTGTCCCTGGGGATGCAGTTTCATTCAGGAGGAGACAAAGGAGAGTAAGCTACAGCTTTAAATATAAAAAAAAACAAGCATAACTGCAACAGATCTCTCTACATAAATCATTAAGGTTTGCAATCATTACTTAAACAAGACTTAGGGTCTCTTACTTGGCCAATCTAAACAATGCGATGCCTTCTATGTCACCGACACTGTGAGCTTTGAGGAAACATTTCTTGGCTTCTTCCCACTTCTCTAATTTTTCGTAACTCTCCCCAAGTGCCACTAACATCCGAGAATCATTTGGTCTTAGCTTCTGAGCCTGGGGAAGTAAACATCTCAGCTAATGCAATGCTATTATTCTAAAGTACACTGCAATTATAAATATTACTTCATTAAACAAAATAATTAAATATTGATAATATAAATGTTGGGATGTTGGCTGTTTGGAGTGACATCTAAACTGTTGTATCAGGGTACCTCTGCAAAGACAGTGATTATGTGTGAATAATGGTGAAAGTGTTTCTTTTTTGGGTCACCCTGCCTCAGTGGGAGATGGCTGGCATGGTAAAAAAAAAAAAAAAAAAAAATAAAGACACTTACAGTAAAAGACTTTTTCAACATACCAGCTGCCTCAGTGGCAGCTGGTATGTGACAGGTTGACTCGAGAAAGCAGAAAACTATAAAGTTTATTTCTTTTTACATTTAGTAATTAAAGGATCTTTTATTTACCAATATACAGTGGTAACCAGAGTTTCAACCACAATTCATTCCAAAAGGCTGATCAAGTGCCGTTACTGAACAAATTAGATTAGTCTGTTTCAAACCCCCAAAAATACACTTACAAAAGCACTTGCAATAATACACTTACATAATTGTTCGAGTTGAAAGCTGTACGAAACTCGGGGTACCACTGTACAATGTTTCACACACTGATGGCTACCCAGTACTAGACACTCTGTATATATAAAAAATTTTTGCTTTCAGAGGTTAAAAAAGAAGTTATCACTTCACTGAACCAATTACTGTATCATTATTCTAATCATAACTAAACACTAAGGAGCAAGGGGCTAGTAATCCCTTGTCCTGTATATATTACTAAATGAAAAGGAGAAACTTTTGTTTTTCCTTTTGGGTCATCCTGCCTCAGTGGGATAAGGCCAGTGCATTGAAAGAAAGAAGACCTAAGCACTAAACCCACAAGGGGTTATATAGTGCTGCACCAATCAGTGTAAAATCTCTCTGCTGCTATAGTTTTTTTTTCACTGTTTAACCCTTAAACTGTCCAAACGTAGATTTATGTTCACGTGTGTAGCGCTCTGACCTTGATTTTCACCATTTGAAAGCATGTAAAAAAAACATAGATCTATGTTCGGAGCCCCCCCCCCCGCACGTGGACGTAGATCTACATTTGGACAGTTTAAGGGTTAATCACTCCATCAAACCACCAAAACATTTTTTACATTGCCATATGTTTCAATACACAAAATAATACTGCTTATGACTTTTAACATATGACTTAGCAAAATTTATTGAGAAATAATCACATATAAAGTGTTTAACACGGTATACACTGAAGATAAACTTTTAGTAAAGTGAAGCCTTGATATAATGAACTAATAAGGGGACTGTCCTGGTGTATGGTCAACATAGCACTTCACAAACAATTTATGAATATATTCCAATAAACACTGAAAATAAAGGAGTTAAATTTTCAATTTACCCATTATTTTACAAGTCCATTTTATTGAAGTCTATGATATCAAGGACTTACTGTTAAATCATTTACTTGAAGATTATTCAAAATACAGATGTGGCTATGCAAAATGTTTAACTTACGGAAGATGAGATATAAATAGTAAGAAATATCTCAGATTTTTTTTCTTTATATAGTATTGTAGTCTACATCTCATAATTAATCAGAAAAACTAATTACTGTACCTATATTTATACATTATATGATAAAGAACCTAGGTAGTAGGTTGGAAGACAGCAACCACCCAGGGGGTACTACCGTCCTGCCAAGTGTGTAACGGAAACCTGTAATTGTTTTACATGATGGCAGGATTGCTGGTGTGTTTTTCTGTCTCATAAACTTATACTTACACTTAGGTCACACTACACATGCATGTGTAGTGTGACCCATGTGGGATTTCTTCTATTTTCTTAATAGTTCTTGTTCTTTATTTCCTCTAATCTCCAAGGGAAAGTGGAAAAGAATTCTTCCTTCATAAGCCATGTGTGTTGTAAGAGGCAACTAAAATACCTGGAGCAAGGGGGCTAGTAACTCCTTCGCCTGTATAAATTACTAAATTTTAAAAGAAAAACTTCTGTTTTTCTTTTTAGGCCACCCTGCCTCAGTGGGATATGGCCAGTGTGTCGAAAAAAATACCGTATATGTAATAAAGAAAAAAATATTAAATTGATTTGCTGCCTTACCTGTTTGAAGTAGTACAAACAATAAGCTGGAAGTTTCAGTATCTCGTAGGTCTGCCCTAATCCATACCATGCACGGTAATCTCGTCTGTTCACCTCTGATAAAACAAAACTATATTAAATGACACAAGCTACTGTGTGCTGTACAATGATAAATATAGTACTCTCAAGATTAGATTATGTATACATTCCAATGATCCTCTAGCAGAAAAAAATGCAAATAATAATGCAACGCTTTGCTTTACGACGTATCGCTAATACAGTGGACCCCCGGTTTACGATATTATTTCATTCCAGAAGTATGTTCAGGTGCCATTACTGAACAAATTTGTTCCCATAAGGAATATTGTGAATTAGATTAGTCCATTTCAGACCCCCAAACATACACATACAAACGCACTTACATAAATACACTTACATAATTGATCGCATTGGGAGCTGATCGTAAAGCGGGGGTCCACTGTACTGTACAGCGGTTTTCGATTACACCCATTCTTTATTTATTCAGACTTCCTTCTCTAAATATATTCACCACTCACTATAAGCTAAGTGTGAAAAAAGATTTTCACTTTATAGCAGTAGCCAGGAACCTAACTTGCTGTATAAGCAGGGCCCTCTTGTACTGTGCAGGCATGAAGTGTTAAGGGTTACAGTGATGAATAGAAAACTTATGTTAAAAAATGGAAAGTAGAATATTGCTTATGAAGTCTCATAATGGCTAAAGAAGAATAAAACAACTGAATCATGCCTAAATGTGGTTCTCTTTTTTTTTAATGTAACCAATCCTCTTCCTGCCCCTAAAAGGGTTCCAAGAAGATAAAGGAAGGAGATAAGTTGGTTAAGAAAGATGAAAGCTAGCTTAATAATCAATAACTTTAAAGTACTAATCTTTCTAAGTTAGCAATACTATACTCAGTGAGTGCCTTTCTATCCATCTATCCATCTGGAGCAATCTTGTATTCTCTAGGGACAGTGCTTCCAACACTGCCATCTGAAGGACGGTAGGGGCACATGACTCCAGTAGGCATGTATGAGCATGGTAGATCAGAATGAGTGGAGACAAGAGGTTTTAAAGATCTGATATGCTTTTGGCATGTGAGTAATGTAATATTTATTGAAGGGATTTGGGGAAACTATTTAGCCAGACCTGAATCCTAGTGGTGGGAAATGCACTGCGTACCCTCTAAAGGAGGAAGTGGGGATGTTACAATCTTGTGGGTCATTTAAACTGTGATGTCTGTGCATTTCTTTGGTCTCCTACCTTGCTGGTAGATGGCAAGTGTCGTTAAAAAAATGTTCAGAGATAGTACATGATGAAAGCCACTACAGTACTTAAGATGTACTTAGAAGAAAGCAAAATTGAGGGATCTCCCACTAGTGCAAAATGCAACTTTAAAAAACAGGTATGAATAGTGTGAGCATGAATCAGTGTCCCATAAAGTATGAGCAGCAGATGTCATTACTGGGACACAGGCATCAATAAATTAACCAAACACCCTAACTTAATTTATTGGATCACCTGAGATTGGAGTCCCCATTCACATTTTAGATAACTAACAATAAAATTTGCTTCTATAATAAAAGATTAGGCGCTGAAGTTTTTTTATGCAATGTGAGCTGAGGCTCGATCTTTTACACTCCTGTGAATTTAGAAGAGCCCCTGATTACAATTTTTTATTCTTGTGGTCTGTACTGTCTGTGCCTCACTATTACCTCCTCAACATAAGTTATAAACAGCAACAGTACCATACTTTCTATTACCTGGAGTTTACCTGGAGAGAGTTCCGGAGGGGGTAATGCCCCTGCGGCCCGGTCTGTGACCAGGCCAAAATTCTAGCAACCATGATAACAAAAACTATGTGAAGACTGAACACTCATTCTGTATACCTGATATCAATAAAAAAATGCAGGAACTTCAAGTATAGAATTTCAAATATAAATGACAGTCTTTCAGACACATGAAAATGTGACTACCAATAGTAACAAACAATGTCTGGGAAACAGTAAATTTTTATGAATGTACAAATAAAAATGGAGTACAAAAATGAGTTAGAGACAACATTACAGTATATTAAATAACAATTATATCAAAGTTAGTATTCAGCAACATATGAAAATAATGTGAAGTAAAAATCTGAATAATGTTATTTGCATTACAATGAAGAACAAAAAGGCACAATACCATGATTGGAACAATACACAACTAACCCACACATAAGAGAAAGAAGCTTATGACATTTCAGTCTGACTTGGACCACTGACAAGTCACACAAATGTGGCTTGTTAATGGTCCAACAGAGACAGAAACATTATAAGTTTCTTTCTCCTATGTGCAGGTTATTTGTGTACTGCATTACAATCTTCCCCACTTCACATACCAATAGCCTGACGATAACACTGGATAGCAGCATTAGTATTCTTCATCTCCATGTACTCATGACCCATCAGTGTCCAAGCTGCTAAATAGTGTGGATTGAGCCTAAGTGCACGCTGGAAATACTGTACAGCCTTCTCATGTTGTGACCTTAAACTGTAATAATTACCTGCAAAATAAATGATGCAATAAAAACAACTGATAAGCTGAAGACATTTAATGAAGTAAACAAAATACTGAAAGAATGACATCGTAAATACAAAACAAAACATAAAATAAAACTGTCTAATAAATTTTAGTCAGATGAAAATAAAAATAATTGTATATTCAGTGTTCTTTATGTAAATTTTATTATTTGTAGAATTCCTACAAAGTCCTGTAAATCACGAATTTGCAAATTCACTGACCCCTCGGTTATCAGCCGTTCCTGTTATCGGCCAACTCGGTTATAGGCCGGTTTTTCGGCTTCCAGTTATCAGCCGTTATTTCGCTTATTGGCCGTATGGAATGCGTACACCCACCCGCCGGCAGCTGCTCATGTCAGTCTGGCTGTGTCTCTGGGTGAGTGAGGAAGCTTCTGCTCTTTCATCCAAACATTTCACTATAAACCTTTGTTTTTGGTGGTTATTTATCAAGTGCAACTGCAAAATAAGTCACCATGGCCCCAAAAAAAGTTCTTAGTAAAGTTAATTTAGTAAAGAAATTGAGAAACACGATAGAATTCAAGGCAGGCTGGCATAGAAGCAAGGAGTGCAGCAGGTATGCAGGAAGTGTAGCAGGTATGCAGGGAGTGTAGCAGGCATGCAGAAAGTGTAGCAGACATGCAGGAAGTGTAGCAGGCATGTGGGAAGTGTAGCAGGCATGCAGGAAGTGTAGCAAGCATGCAGGAAGTGTAGCAGGCATGCAGGAAGTGTAGCAGACATGCAGGGAGTGTAGCAGACATGCAGGGAGTGTAGCAGACATGCAGGGAGTGTAGCAAGCATGCAGGAAGTGTAGCAAGCATGCAGGAAGTGTAGCAGGCATGCAGGAAGTGTAGCAGGCATGCAGGAAATATAGCAGGTATGCAGGGAGTGTAGCAAGCATGTAGGAAGTGTAGCAGGCATGCAGAAAGTGTAGCAGGCATGCAGAAAGTGTAGCAGTCATGCAAGAAGTGTAGCAAGCATGCAGGAAGTGTAGCAGGCATGCAGGAAGTGTAGCAGGCATGCAGGGAGTGTAGCAAGCATGCAGGAAGTGTAGCAGGCATGCAGAAAGTGTAGCAGGCATGCAGGAAGTGTAGCAGGCATGCAGGAAGTGTAGCAGGCATGCAGGGAGTGTAGCAAGCATGCAGGAAGTGTAGCAGGCATGCAGAAAGTGTAGCAGGCATGCAAGAAGTGTAGCAAGCATGCAGGAAGTGTAGCAGGCATGCAGGAAGTGTAGCAGGTATGCAGAAAGTGTAGCAGGCATGCAGAAAGTGTAGCAGGCATGCAGGAAGTGTAGCAGACATGCAGGGAGTGTAGCAAGCATGCAGGAAGTGTAGCAAGCATGCAGAAAGTGTAGCAGACATGCAAGAAGTGTAGTAGGCATTCTAGAAGCCAGCATTAGTCTTCAATAAAGGTATGTAATACTGATTTAATTGTTAAAAATTTTTTTTTTTTTTGTGAATATTTTTGTCTGAAACGAATTAATTGTATTTACATTAACCCGTAAACGGTCCAAACATATACAGTGGACCCCCGGTATTTGATGGCATCGGTATTCGATAAATCCGGTATTCGATGCATTATATCGCAAAAAATTTTCCTCAGTATTCGATACGATTCGTACGAGACCTGTCCACGTGTGGCCTGAACTGCCCCGTGTGTGCCAGTGTTTACAAGCCAGCCAGTGTGCGCGCATCTAAGGATACATTCGGTACATTCCATATTATCACTGTGTTTGGTGCTTGTTTCTGCAAAATAAGTCACCATGGGCCCCAAGAAAGCTTCTAGTGCCAACCCTGTGGTAAAAAGGGTGAGAATTAGTATGGAAATTAAGAAAGATTTTGAAGGGTTTGGGGGCTAACCCTGAGAAGCCTATGCCAGTTGTGGAATCCATTGTGCCTACTTCAAAAATTAAGGAAATGTGTGCACAGTGGGTTGAAGTGCAAACCTTTATGGATGAAAATCACCCTAACACAGCTATTGCAAGCCTTGCTGGTGAATATTACAATGACAATGTTGTGGCCCATTTTAGACAAATCGTAAAGGAACGGGAGGTACAGAGCTCTATGGACAGATTTGTTGTGTGACAGAGGTCCAGTGCACTCAAGCTGGTCTATGGATTTAAAGAAGAAGGGAATACCCGAAAAGACTTGCTACTCAAGTCTAATGGAAAGGATTCCCCTTCTAAACACTAACACTCTCCCCTCCTCCCATCCCATCAATCATCACCAGATCTTCATTAAAGGTAAGTGTCAATTATTTTATTGTTATTGTAATTATTCCATTGCATTAAACTTAATATTTCAATTAGTAAAATTTTTTTTCATACTTTTGGGTGTCTTGCACGGATTAATTTGATTTCCATTATTTCTTATGAGGAAAATTGATTCGGTTTTCGATATTATCGGTATTCAATGAGTTCTCAGGAACGGATTAATATCGAATACCGGGGGTCTACTGTATATACATTTTTTCAACATTTGAAAGTATGTAAAAAAAGTAGATCTTCTTTTTGTTTTTTTACATTTGAAAATGTGTAAAAAAAACTTTGATCTACTTTTTTTTTTTGTTATATTTGAAAATGTGTAAAAAAAACGTAGATCTACTTTTGTAGCACTACACATGTGAACGTAGATCTTCTTGGACCATTTACAGGTTAATTCTTATGGGAAATATTATTTTGGTTTTCGGCCATTTTGGTTTTAGGCCGAGCTTCTGGAATGGATTACGGCCGATAACCGAGGGTCCACTGTACATACTTTAACATGAAATTTTGCAAATATGACTTTGATTTTCTTTATTTTAAATATACTGCACATTAATAAAAAATATAAAATACCGTACTGTAATAACGATGGCTTTGTCAATAAATAATGTGTAAGGTGAGTGGATATGAATGAGTGACAACTGGCTACTGGCTATCCTCCATCATACATAGTAAACTGTGAAGTAAGTGTCACAAATTTGCACACGCATAAAAAAGATTACACGAGACTGCTCACCATAACCTATTGTTAAAGATATATAATAATGAAACATGTACATGTTTCTCACTTAAACCAGTATTTTGTACAATTACTATCTTGGTGTACTCCTTAGACACTGATAAAGCTAACTCATGGAGAGAGAAAAGCTAATACACTCCCACACATACTGAATGACACTTAAGATTTTTGAAGCTTATGCTGAAAAGTTTCGGAATGTTCTCTATCAGATTAAGTCCAGTAAGTTCCCAGGACAGTCATTAAACCATGAACGAAGGACAATAATTTAGTCAATTCTTTGTCTTGCGTAGTATGGTAAGTGGCACAATCTTCCATACAGAAGTTGTCATGACACTTCTTGAACCTCTCATGCAAATATTCTAAAGGGGTACTTATGGGCATGCATATTAATGATGCTTACTGTTTGTACATGTACATTAAACCCTCTTATAAAGTGACACCATAGAGCAATTTTGTGTTAATGCACATGAAAAAGTGCATCCTAAATTGAATAATGTTTGAATAAGACTTGGAAGTATATTCCTTTAACATGGAAACATCAAGTGACAATACTTGAAAAACATGGGTACTAGGTGAATTTTTTCCCCTTGACCCAATTGGGTCAGGGACAAAAATGATTGAGTGTTAGGAGAGGCACAGCTCCTTTCTTTTCCTACTGCTACTTATGCCACTTACAGCTGCTTTCTGGGAGCATCACATGCCTTATATATACTGTGTTTATCAGAAGATTTTGGATGTTTTTATTGTCTCAATTCATCTCTGGATATTAATCAAGGCAACCAAGAGGAATACTAGTGGTGATGGAAGTGCCAAGAGTAAGTGTGAAGCTCTGACAATAGAAGAAAATGAAAACTAACTATGCTAAGAGATGATGCATGTATGAATTAGATTGCCCATACTTTGGATCGGAGAGAATCCACCATTTGTACAATTACAGGACAGTGAAAGGAAAATATGAATCTGTGCAATGAGTAGTGCAGATTGTGACCTGGTGAAAAGAATGTCAAAGGGACAATACAGCTAAATAAGAGCTAAATAAGAAAGAAAAGTTACCGAGTGTGTGGATTAAGAAGAAAACAAGGACAGGGGAAAAACTAAGTGCTCAGATGCCAACTGTCAGTTCTATAAAATACTGGAAGGTAAAAAGTATCAGAGATGAATTACAAAACACTTGAGCACTCTGGGGTAACCATCAACTGCTGATAACTTTGTACATCAACACCACAACCACAGCCATCCACATCAACAAAAGAACCACAGCTATCTACATCAACACAAGACCCACAGCCATCCACTTCAGCCCAATAGAGCCACATCAACCCTCTTCACAGATTCCCATGTCAGCAAGCAACAACAAGAATGCAAAGTAACAAGCTGCAGCAATTTATATACCAACCAGAATATAAAAAAACTGGAAAATTTGGAGGTGTCTGGAACATACGCTATTTTCCCCATATATTCTTCACTTTTCATACACCTAATTTCCACAAGAGCTCCAATTTTCAGAATGTAACCTACGCATTATAAATAGGTTTAATATAAATCATTTTCTCCTACAAATTATACCTCATTATCGACTACACTCTTCATTTAATTTACAGTATTCACTGAAATGAACCTGTAAAATAATATGCTTAGTGTTTTAGATGAAAAATAAAAGTTGATTTTCCTTCAGTTTTTCACTGCACACAAAACCTCATGAATAATTTAATATATTTTGCAAAGATGAGGGAAAAAAGGTGAGTGGTGCATTGAGGTATATGTGGAGACATAAAACATTATCTATGGAGGCAAAGAAGGTAATATATGAAAGTATAGTAGTACCAACACTTTTATATGGGTGTGAAGCTTGGGTTGTGAATGCAGCAGCGAGGAGGCGGTTGGAGGCAGTGGAGATGTCCTGTCTAAGGGCAATGTGTGGTGTAAATATTATGCAGAAAATTCGGAGTGTGGAAATTAGGAAGTGTGGAGTTAATAAAAGTATTAATCAGAGGGCTGAAGAGGGGTTGTTGAGGTGGTTTGGTCATTTAGAGAGAATAGGTCAAAGTAGAATGACATGGAGAGCATTTAAATCTGTAGGGAAAGGAAGGCGGGGTAGGGGTCGTCCTCGAAAAGGTTGGAAGGAAGGGGTAAAGGAGGTTTTGTGGGCGAGGGGCTTGGACTTCCAGCAGGCGTGCGTGAGCATGTTCGATAGGAGTGAATGGAGACGAATGGTATTTGGGACCTGACGATCTGTTGCAGTGTGAGCAGGGTAATATTTAGTGAAGGGATTCAGAGAAACCGGTTAGTTTTATATAGTCGGACTTGAGTCCTGGAAATGGGAAGTACAATGCCTGCACTCTAAAGGAGGTGTTTGGGATATTGACAGTTTGGAGGGATATGTTGTGTATCTTTATACGTATATGCTTCTAAGCTGTTGTGTTCTGAGCACCTCTGCAAAAACAGTGATTGTGTGAGTGAGGTGAAAGAGCTGAATGATGATGAAAGTATTTTCTTTTTGGAGACTTTCTTTCTTTTTGGGTCACCCTGCCTCGGTGGGAGAGGCCGACTTGTTAAAAAAAAAAAAAAAAAAAAAAGACTGAAATTCCAATATCACTGATTAAGACACTAACTTCAGAGCTCTTGAAACATGCACAGAATTTTTGGGAACTTGCATGGTAAACATTTACATATAAGAATGACTGTACTAAGTATTTTACATCTACAATATTTCACTAATCTTGACCTCTAAAAAAAAAAAATGCAAGACCTGGAGTCTATTTACCAATCACACAACAAGTCTCCACACGATATTTATCAACTTGTACAACACGATGGGCAAGATGTGAGAGCTCCACGCGCATTTCTTTCACGTACAGCAAGTTAGAATAAGTATCCAAGTTGTCCAGACGAAATGGGTCTACGGCTTCAAGTTCTTTGAATATTGTCACAGCCTGATCCACATCTTGGAAAAAAAAAAAAATTAGACAGTACATTTCTACTGAAATTCAATAATCATTTATTTTATTAGCACATTTATCACACTATTATTACAAAAATGTGTGTAGTGTACAATATTTAACAGAATAACCCAAAATGTGCTGAAAGAAAGCTTGACCAGAATGAAATTAGTGTTATTTTTGATGAAAGTATTTTTTTATAGCACACTAGCCATCTCCTACCAAGGTTGGATGGTCCCAAAAAATAAGGAAATACATTCAATATCATTCATTCAATAGCTGTCTTGCCAGAAGTGTACAGACATCACAATTCAAATAACCCTCTGAACTACATCCTCACCCGACCTTCAGAGTGCAGGCACTGTAATTCCCACCTCAAGTATTGTAACATCCCCACTCCCTCATTCAGAGTGTAAGCACTGTAATTCCCACCTCCAGTATTGTAACATCCCCACCCCCACATTCAGAGTGTAAGCACATAATTCCCACTCAGTATTGTAACATCCCACCCCCTCATTCAGAGTGTAAGCACTATAATTCTCACCTCCAGTATTGTAACATCCCCACTCCCTCATTCAGAGTGTAAGCACTATAATTCCCACCTCCAGTATTGTAACATCCCCACCCCCTCATTCAGAGTGTAAGCACTATAATTCTCACCTCCAGTACTGTAACATCCCCACTCCCTCATTCAGAGTGTAAGCACTGTAATTCCCACCTCCAGTATTGTAACATCCCCACTCCCTCATTCAGAGTGTAAGCACTGTAATTCCCACCTCCAGTATTGTAACATCCCCACCCCCACATTCAGAGTGTAAGCACTATAATTCCCACCTCCAGTATTGTAACATCCCCACTCCCTCATTCAGAGTGTAAGCACTATAATTCCCACCTCCAGTATTGTAACATCCCCACCCCCTCATTCAGAGTGTAAGCACTATAATTCTCACCTCCAGTATTGTAACATCCCCACTCCCTCATTCAGAGTGTAAGCACTGTAATTCCCACCTCCAGTATTGTAACATCCCCACCCCATTTCAGAGTGTAAGCACTATAATTCTCACCTCAGTACTGTAACATCCCCACTCCCTCAGAGTGTAAGCACTATAATTCCCACCTCCAGTATTGTAACATCCCCACCCCCTCATTCAGAGTGTAAGCACTATAATTCTCACCTCCAGTACTGTAACATCCCCACCCCCTCATTCAGAGTGTAAGCACTATAATTCTCACCTCCAGTACTGTAACATCCCCACTCCCTCATTCAGAGTGTAGGCATTGTAATTCCCACCTCCAGGACTCAGGTCTGGCTAACCAGTTTCCCTGAATACCTTCATAATTCTCAGTAACCCTGCTCACAATCTAATAGTATGTCAATCCATTAACAAAACACTTTTCTCCATTCACTCCAATCTAACACAAAGTACTTTTTTCATAATTATAATTTTAACACTGTTGCTACAAATCAACTAAAGAACAACAGAGCAAGACTGGGAGTTCCACAAGTCACATCAAATTTATGTATATATTTCAAACACCCTCACACATGCATTATACCAAAGGAGGGGGATACAATATCACAATAAATCAACATATTTGAGTTTCAATTACTAAATGTAAAATGAAGAAACATTTAATGAAAGTCTTACTTCTCTTTTGGGTCACTCTGCCTTGGTGGAAGACGGCAATGTATTAAAAAAAAATATTGACTTTCACAATTACAGCATTTCTATAAATAAAAACTGAAAAATTAGATAACCTGCAATATTTATAAAATTTTAATATCAATATCTTTAATATAATCTCCATGGGGAAGTGGAACAGAATTCTTCCTCCGTAAGCCATGCGTGTCGTAAGAGGCGACTAAAATGCCGGTAGCAAGGGGCTAGTAACCCCTTCTCCTGTATATATTACTAAATGTAAAAGGAGAAACTTTCGTTTTTCCTTTTGGGCCACCCCGCCTCAGTGGGATACAGCCGGTGTGTTGAAAGAAAGAAGAAAGATCTTTAATATAAATAATTTAATAAAACAATCATGGATAGAATACTCTGCTATGAAAATACTAGTGAAAAAACAACTTCAATTACCTCTTTGGTTGTGGTGTGTGATAGCAACTTGTGCCATGATGTATGTTGAATGCAGAAATCCAGCATCTTGCAAGCTAGTGTAGATCTCTAAAGCTTCATCATTCAGCTGTAGCTCCAAGTAGGTATGAGCATGAAACAACTTTCTCATCCAATGGTCTGGTAGTTTTAACGTGCTAAGCTTTAAAATAAGAGATAGTCATCATGAGAAAATTGACACTGTATCTCTGAACACAGGTTTAACTTAAATTCAGCCTTTCTAGCTTACAAGGGTATCTAACTACTAATTCATAATTACAGGGATCATTACTTGCCCTCAGGCAAGATTTGTTTGGTCGTCTGATCAGTCAGGCTGTTGGTGCTAGACATGTGCAGATCAGGAACAGTTTGAAAGAACTTGGTTCCTTCATTAGAACATTTAGGTGATTACTGGTAATCCTTCTTACAATTTGAGGATGAAATTTACAAGCCTTGAACCTTTAAAATTAGATGATAATAACAACACAGGAGGGCCCTGCTTTATGGCACTTTGTTCTACAGTGCTTTGCTAATACTATGGACATTTCAAGGTATGACCAAAATTCATTTAAATGGTTCCCTCCCTGATTCACTATTACATCCTCTATGAACCACTGTTTGTTTACATTGTGTGTGAGCATCTCTCTATAATGTCTGGAAATGTTTCCAAACTTCAAGTGTTTAAAAGTTATTGCACATTTTATATATACTCTCATATACTTATGTGTACCTGTACCTAAATAAATTTACACACTGGGCTGGCATGCAGGTACACATTAAAATCACTAAGTGTCTCAGTAGTCTTGAAGATGCCATAATAATACTTCTAATAATAATCTCTCTGGGAGCCTCATATATTACGTTAACCCTTAAACTGTCCAAACAGATCTATGTTCACATGCATAGTCCTCCAAAAGTAGATCTACGTTTTTTTACATTTTTTTCAAATATAACAAAACAAACGTAGATCAAAGTTTTTCTTTACATGTTTTCAAATGTAAAAAAACAAAAAGAAGACCTACATTTTTTTACATACTCTCAAATGTTGAAAAAACGTAGATCTCCGTTTGGACAGTTTAAGGGTTAATATAGATGTTTTCATTAATCCATCTATGACATTTCAAAATTATATAAGAAATACGTTACATAACATATAAACATAATACATACACTCACAGCAGAACAAATTGACATAAATATGAGATGTGGTTGCCAGGCAGCTTGTAAGAGTGATGGAAAGAATTACGCTTTCTCTAGACCAACATCAAAGTAAATGTGTACACAATACAGTGGACCCCCAGTTAACGATATTTTTTCACTCCATAAGTATGTTCAGGTGCCAGTACTGACAGAATTTATTCCCATAAGGAATATTGTGAAGTAGATTAGTCCATTTCAGACCCCCAAACATACACGTACAAACGCACTTACATAAATACACTTACATAATTGGTCGCATTCGGAGGTAATCGTTATGCGGGGGTCCACTGTAGTATTACTTTTCCATGGAGAAGTGGAACAGAATTCCTCCTCCATAAGCCATGCGTGTTGTAAGAGGCGATTAAAATGCCGGGAGCAAGAGGCTAGTAACCCCTTCTCTTGTATACATTACTAAACTTAAAAAGAAAAACTTTTTTCTTTTTAGGTCACCCTGCCTTGGTGGGATATGGCCGGTTTGATAAAAAAAAATCAGTATTACTGGGGATAACCGTAGAAAATTATTCCTTTCATATGCCTTCACTCATAGCATCATTCCCTCTAAAAATGGTGTGTTACACGAGAATGGGAGTGTTGCTGTTTATTTATGCTACTGCACCAATGTGAAGACAATTTGTACACAATATAAAGTGTTTGTATTGTGGCAAAAGCTTCATAAATGTATGCGAAATGAACGTATAAGAACCGTAGATGGACAGGAATTAATACGCGTTCGTTTGTTTGTTTACATTTTCCACATTGTTTTCATTCTCTCTTGTTTATGATGGCATCTAAGGGTAGTTGTTAGAAATTATTAAACTTGGTGAAAAAGGTATGTCGATAATAATAATAATAATAATAATAATAATAATAATAATAATAATAATAATAATAATAATAATAATTCTAGGTAGTAGGCTGGTAGACAGCAACCGCCCAGGGAGGTACTACCGTCCTGCCAAGTGAGTGTAAAACGGAAGCCTGTAATTGTTTTACATGATGGTAGGATTGCTGGTGTCCTTTTTTCTGTCTCATAAACATGCAAGATTTCAGGTATGTCTTGCTACTTCTACTTACACTTAGGTCACACTACACATACATGTACAAACATATACGTACACACCCATCTGGGTTTTTTTCTATTTTCGTTCTTGTTCTTGTTTATTTCCTCTTACCTCCATGGGGAAGTGGAACAGAATTCTTTCTCCGTAAGCCATGCGTGTTGTACGAGGCGACTAAAATGCCGGGAGCAAGGAGCTAGTAACCTCTTCTCCTGTATATATTACTAAATGTAAAAGGAGAAACTTTCGTTTTTCCTTTTGGGCCACCCCGCCTCGGTGGGATACGGCCGGTGTGTTGAAAGAAGAAAGAATAATAATAATAATAATAATAATAATAATAATAATAATAATAATAATAACAATAATAATAATAATCATCACTTTGGGGGGGAGGGGTTCTAAATTTTGTATATTTCGTTTAGGTGTGGCAGCTGGGAGAGCTACCACACCTGACTTCCTACAATAAGTACTACTCACCTCTCAACCCACATTAAGACTTCAAATATTTTAAGGTAAGCAATGAGTGTACTGTATGTATTTTATTTTTTATATTCTTTGAATGCCAAGCTTTATTACTTAATACAGTGGACCCCGCATACCGTTGGCATCACATAACGTTAAATCCGCATACCGATACATTTTATCGCTAAGATTTTGCCTCGCATACCGCTAAAAAACCCGCTCAACGCTATTCGTCCGAGACGCGTCTAATGTGCGGCCTGAGCCAGCCTCACATGTTCCGCCGGTGGCATTGTTTACCAGCCAGCCTCCGCGGTAACATCCAAGCATACAATCGGAACATTTCGTATTATTACAGTGTTTTTGGTGATTTTATCTGCAAAATAAGTGACCATGGGCCCCAAGAAAGCTTCTAGCCAACCCTACAGGAGTAAGGGTGAGAATTACTATAGAGATGAAGAAAGAGATCATTGCTAAGTATGAAAGTGGAGTGCGTGTCTCCGAGCTGGCCAGGTTGTATAGTAAACCACAATCAACCATCGCTACTATTGTGTCCAAGAAAACGGCAATCAAGGAAGCTGTTCTTGCCAAAGGTTCAACTGTGTTTTCGAAACAGAGATCGCAAGTGATAGAAGATGTTGAGAGACTCTTATTGGTGTGGATAAATGAAAAACAGATAGCAGGAGATAGCATCTCTCAAGTGATCATAAGTGAAAAGGCTAGGAAGTTGCATGAGGATTTAATTAAAAAAATGCCTGCAACTAGTGATGATGTGAGTGAATTTAAGGCCAGCAAAGGTTGGTTTGAGAGATTTAAGAAGCGTAGTGGCATACATAGTGTGATTAGGCATGGTGAGGCTGCCAGTTCGGACCACAAAGCAGCTGAAAAATATGTGCAGGAATTCAAGGAGTACATAGACAGTGAAGGACTGAAACCTGAACAAGTGTTTAATTGTGATGAAACAGGCCTGTTTTGGAAGAAAATGCCAAGCAGGACCTACATTACTCAGGAGGAAAAGGCACTCCCAGGAGATAAGCCTTTGAAAGACAGGCTTACTCTTCTCATGTGTTCCAATGCTAGTGGTGATTGCAAAGTGAAGCCTTTATTAGTGTATCACTCTGAAACTCCCAGAGCATTCAGGAAAAAGAATATCCTCAAGGCTAATTTGTGTGTGCTGTGGAGGGCAAACAGTAAGGCATGGGTCACTAGGGACTTTTTTTATGACTGGTTACGCCAAGCATTTGCCCCCAATGTGAAAAATTACCTAACTGAAAAGAAATTAGACCTTAAATGCCTCCTGGTGTTAGACAATGCCCCTGGTCATCCTACAGACGTGGCAGAGCGACTTTGTGGGGACATGAGCTTCATTAAGGTGAAGTTTTTGCCTCCTAATACCACTCATCTCCTGCAGCCCATGGACCAGCAGGTTATTGCAGACTTCAAAAAACTGTACACAAAAGCTCTGTTTGAAAGGTGCTTTGTAGTGACCTCAGAAACTCAATTGACTATAAGAGAGTTCTGGAGAGATCACTTTAATATCCTCAATTGTGTAAACCTTATAGGTAAGGCTTGGGAGGGAGTGACTAAGAGGACCTTGAACTCTGCTTGGAAGAAACTGTGGCCAGAATGTGTAGACCAAAGGGATTTTGAAGGGTTTGAGGCTAACCCTGGGAATCCTATGCCAGTTGAGGAATCCATTGTGGCATTGGGAAAGTCCTTGGGGTTGGAGGTTAGTGGGGATGATGTGGAAGAGTTGGTGGAGGAGGACAATGAAGAACTAACCACTGATGAGCTGCTAGATCATCTTCATCAGCATGAGGCCACACCTGAGGAAACTGCTTCGGAGGAGGGGAGAGAGAAATTGAAGAAGTTGCCTACTTCAAAGATTAAGGAAATGTGTGCAATGTGGCTTAAAGTGCAAACCTTTTTTGATGACAATCACCCTAACACAGCTATTGCAAGCCATGCTGGTGACTATTACACTGACAATGTTGTGAACCACTTTAGGGAAGTCATAAAGGAACGGGAGGTACAGGCCTCTATGGACAGATATGTTGTGCAACAGAAGTCCAATGACTCTGAAGCTGGTCCTAGTGGCATTAAAAGAAGAAGGGAAGTAACCCCGGATAAGGACTTGACACCTCAAGTCTTAATGGAAGGGGATTCCCCTTCTAAACACTAAGACTCTCTCCTCCTCCCATCCCATCAATCATCACCAGATCTTCAATAAAGGTAAGTGTCATGTAACTGTGCATGTCTTTTTCAGTTTGTGTGTATTAAAATTAATATTTCATGTGGTAAAAAATTTTTTTTCATACTTTGGGATTTCTTGCACGGATTAATTTGATTTCCATTATTTCTTATTTAATTTATTTATTTATTTATTTATTTATTTATTTATTTAAAAATTGAGCACACATACAGGTACACAATACAGGTAAGAGCATATTCAAAGCCACTTATAGCAAGCATAGGGCTGGCTTAAAATTACTTAGTTAACTAAGATCGAAATATGCATAACAATGAGCTCTCAGGAACGGATTAATATTGTTATGCGGGGGTCCACTGTAATATGATAGTGTAAACATGCTATGAAGCATTTATATGTGAAAAACAGTGTGAATTGCTTTACAGCGATTTCCACTTTATGGCGGTAGCCTGGAACCTAACCCGCCGTATAAGTGGGGCCCTACTCTCCTGCATTTACCATTTCTCTGTCAGTAATGAGGGCTGCCAGTTCCAGCCAAGCCCCCCAATGTAAGGGCTGTAGATGCAGGGCCTGACACAATACATCCACAGACTGTCTAGTAAGATCTAAACGCTTCAGCACAACTCCATAAAGCCACAACAGCCAGGCATCCATGTCAGTGTCACCCAAGTCTCTGCACAGGAGAAAACATTAAAATCACACATTTATTAGATGCATATAGAGTACTGCATATCCTACACAAAAGACCTAAATATGTACAAACTTTTAACACACACTTACACAGCAAATCTTGCCAGAATTTTAAAGGTACATATGCATACCTTTACTGTATGCACTAATAGTGAAGGGATCATATAATGCCTATGGAACAGGAGGCAATCAGGCTAGGTTTAAGGAGAGGACAGGTACAGTTATTTAGATCAAGAGCCCCTCACTGGCATCAAAACACCCCTCTTGAGGGGTGTTTACCTACAATCAGGCAAAATAAATAAAGATAATGCTTCCTTTTATCATAGGACTGGAACCATAACAAAAATTATTGAAAAATTAAACTGAAGAGGAACCTTTACTCTCTGCCACTTAAGTAATGGTAAACCTCAAGTAGTAAAACTGTTGAAGTCTCAGTAAGAATGAGTCTGAAAGTTTGTTTGTCACAACACATTAGTTTCTCCTCTCTACAACTTTTGTATTCAAACTATTATGAGGTAATGATTGCTGAAGTTTTGCAAAGTTTCAATGGTCAATGTTTTTTTGATATGGTAAAATGGCAAAGTTAAAGTAAGTGTATTCTGACAAACCCTACTGATCTTACTGAGCTAATGATAGACTTTGTGAGATTTATGGGATTTTATCAAACCAAAGAGAAAAAGTAAGTTGTAGATTTTTTAATACGAACTTCTTAACTTTCTCTATATTTTTCTCTCTCAATCACTTCCTCACTTAATGAAAACTAATCTATATCAAAACCTTAAGAAAACTCAAGTGAAAGATAATAAACAGGACAAAAATATTGAAACACATGAATAAAAGTAATTACCCATATTTGTTAACTACAAAAAATAAAACATTTACGTACTAACCTAGATGTAGAGTTAGAATGAAGTGTATACATTTTGGAGAGCTCCGTGTGTAGCTCCTTTAGGTATATACCTTTGTGCTCATCATTGGTAACTGAAAAAAATTATTATAGCTTGTAAGCATCTTTTATACAGGTGCTTCTCGTTCACCTGATGATATTTTGACTTTATGATGGTGTAATAGCAATGCACATTCAGTAGCCATCAAACTTTTTCCCATGTTCAACCAAGTTTTCCCAATTTTCCCTTTGTTTCAGTCACAGTATTGTGCCCTTTTGTTCCTTAAGCCCATTTTGTCTACTAAATACCCAAGTGTGTCTCCTGCTTCTGATATTTAGTCTGGTATTTAGTTACAGCAATTATTTGCTTATTTACTTATTCAGTGACAACAGTTATTTATTTACTTATTTATTAATCATATCACATTCATATTTTACTCACAATATTCTCAACCTATGATGGGTTCTTCAGAATGTAACCCCATCGAAAGTCAAGGAGTACTTGTACAATCCTTTTTGTGCATCGGCCGTCTCCAACCAAGGTATGATGATCCCCCTCCCCCCCAAAAAAAGAAAATACATATACTATATATATATATATTATATATATATATATATATATATATATATATATATATATATAATATATATATATATATATATATATATATATACAGTGGAAACCCCCCCATAACGATGGCATCACATAGCGATTTTTCCGCATACCGATTACTTTTATCGCAAAATTTTTGCCGCGCATACCGATTAAAAAACCCGCTTACCGATTTTCGTCCGAGACGCGTCCAATGTGCCCTCAGCCAGCCTCACATGTGCCGGCCGTCCCATTGTTTACCAGCCAGCCTCCGCGGTAACATCCCAAGCATACACTCGGAATATTTCGTATTATTACAGTGTTTTCGGTGCTGTTTCTGGAAAAATAAGTGACCATGGGCCCCAAGAAAGCTTCTAGTGCCAACCCTGTGGTAAAAAGGGTGAGAATTAGTATGGAAATTAAGAAAGATTTTGAAGGGTTTGGGGCTAACCCTGAGAAGCCTATGCCAGTTGTGGAATCCATTGTGCCTACTTCAAAGATTAAGGAAATGTGTGCACAGTGGGTTGAACTGCAAACCTTTATAGATGAAAATCACCCTGACACAGCTGTTGCAAGCCGTGCTGGTGACTATTTCAATGACAATGTTGTGGCCCATTTTAGACAAATCGTAAAGGAACGGGAGGTACAGAGCTCTATGGACAGATTTGTTGTGCGACAAGAGGTCCAGTGACTCTCAAGCTGGTCCTAGTGGCATTAAAAGAAGAAGGGAAGTAAACCCCGGAAAAGGACTTGCTACCTCAAGTCGTAATGGAAGGGGATTCCCCTTCTAAACAGTAAGAAGATAAATGCTCTCCCTCCTCCCATCCCATCAATCATCACCAGATCTTCAATAAAAGTAAGTGTCATGTAATTGTGCATGCCTTTTTCAGTTTGTGTGTATTAAAATTAACATTTCATGTGGTAAAAAAAAATTTTTTTCATACTTTTGGGCGTCTTGCACGGATTAATTTTATTTCCATTATTTCTTTATGGGGAAAATTCATTCGCATAACGATTTATTTCGCATAACGATGAGCCCTCTTGCACGGATTAAAATCGTTAAACCGGGGGTCCACTGTATATATATATATATATATTTTTTTTTTTTTTTTCAACAAGTCGGCCGTCTCCCACCGAGGCAGGGTGACCAAAAAAGAAAGAAAATCCCAAAAAGAAAATACTTTCATCATCATTCAACACTTTCACCACACTCGCACATTATCACTGTTTTTGCAGAGGTGCTCAGAATACAACAGTCTAGAAGCATACACATATAAAGATACACAACATATCCCTCCAAACTGCCAATATCCCAAACCCCTCCTTTAAAGTGCAGGCATTGTACTTCCCATTTCCAGGACTCAAGTCCGACTATATGAAAATAAACCGGTTTCCTGAATCCCTTCACTAAATATTACCCTGCTCACATTCCAACAGATCGTCAGGTCCCAAGTACCATTCGTCTCCATTCACTCCTATCTAACACGCTCACGCACGCTTGCTGGAAGTCCAAGCCCCTTACCCACAAAACCTCCTTTACCCCCTCTCTCCAACCCTTTCAAGGACGACCCCTACCCGCCTTCCTTCCCCTATAGATTTATAAGCTTTCCATGTCATTCTACTTTGATCCATTCTCTCTAAATGACCAAACCACCTCAACAACCCCTCTTCTGCCCTCTGACTAATACTTTTATTAACTCCACACCTTCTCCTAATTTCCACACTCCGAATTTTCTGCATAATATTTACACCACACATTGCCCTTAAACAGGACATCTCCACTGCCTCCAAACGTCTCCTCGCTGCTGCATTTACCACCCAAGCTTCACACCATATAAGAGTGTTGGTACTACTATACTTTCATACATTCCCTTCTTTGCCTCCATAGATAACGTTTTTTGACTCCACATATACCTCAACGCACCACTCACCTTTTTTCCCTCATCAATTCTATGATTAACCTCATCCTTCATAAATCCATCCGCCGACACGTCAACTCCCAAGTATCTGAAAACATTCACTTCTTCCATACTCCTCCTCCCCAATTTGATATCCAATTTTTCTTTATCTAAATCACTTGACACCCTCATCACCTTACTCTTTTCTATGTTCACTTTCAACTTTCTACCTTTACACACATTCCCAAAACTCATCCACTAACCTTTGCAATTTTTCTTTAGAATCTCCCATAAGCACATGCTATATATGCTATATATATGCTATATATATGCAATATATATACATATAGTTCCTTGATAATGTGAGTAGTCACGAAAGCGCTTGGAATTTCTCTATTCTTTCAGAGTGGTTGTTTTGCATATACGTATATATATCTATCTATATATATATATATACATATTTATATATATATATAATATTATATATATATATATTATATATATATATATATATATATATATATATATATATATATATATATATTATATATATATATATTTCTTTCTTTCAACACACCGGCCGTATCCCACCGAGGTGGGGTGCCCAAAAGGAAAAACGAAAGTTTCTCCTTT